GTCCCTCCCCCTCCCTTCTTCCCACTATCCCTCGTTCTCCCCCTCCTCTTTTTGCAGGACCCACACCACTTCCAATGGCGGGCACACGTACGCCCACGAAGGATTGTCCGCCCGTTCAGGTTTGCCCGCCTGTCTAAGCCCGCCGCCCCCCGCAAAGAGAAATAATCCCCCCAAAAGGGGGTGCGATCGAAGACAACATGGGCGGGTATCGAGGGTGTGGGGAACTCGTCTTTCATGACACACGGGCAAGTAAGAGCGAACAGTCTTAGACTGATTGGTGTTGTTGATGCTGTTGTGATTGTTGTTGTAAGAATGATTGTTGCCCGAGGTCGAGAGACGCTCCAACTGCTGAGGTTGTCTGGCCCGTTTCGCTCGAGATAGCCTCACAAGCCTGTGCTCCGATGGACCCGACGTTTCTTCCCTCATGGGCGGAGGCCATATTCCTATCTAGCTGTGCGGCCGCGCGGTGCCGCCACCGCGCTCGGGCGGACGGGGAGGGCGCCTTGGTGGGGGGGGGAGGGGGGGCGGCCCATGAGCCCCCCCCCCTCCCGAAGCTTTGTGTTTGAAGCCGTTTTGTTCTGCCTGGACGGCCGAAAGCGCAGAGACTTTGGCCACAGACACGAACGCATTTTGGGCTGGATGCGTCGGGGTGCGCTAAATCGGGGGCCCAGCCAGACATCCACGGCCTCGCGGGCTGGGCCCTTGGACCGCGACCCCGTAGATGCAGAGCGTGCTCTCGCGGGTGCGTCGTGTAACCTGTTCTGTGACCGCGTACCCACGAGATCGCGCCCCGCAGTGCAGCCCGAGCCCGCGGGGGCCTGGATATGGATACGTTCGCCGTTCGTGGCTCCCCCTCTGGTCGGAGGCAGCACCGTATCGCGGATGCATCGGCGACGTGGCTCGACCTTTGTGTCTGACTTCTGTGCGCGCCGACGTCGCCGATAAATCGCCGATGCATCGGCGATGCGGTGCCAGCTTCCGACAACATCTACTCCAGTCACATCTGGGCGGCGTGTATTTCGCCCACGCTCCTGCGTTGGGTTTTCGCTTCGGCGTTCCATTCCTTCCTGCATATTACTACATCTTCTTTGCCGCCTACCTGCCAGCCAGCCTGCCTCCTTCCTGGCCATCCCTGGGGGGGCTGCGAAGTGTGAAACTATCCCCACTTTCGAGGGCCGCCAGGGGGCCCAACATAGTCGGGGCCTACGCGGACTCAGACTAGAACTCGCCGTCGCTGGTGGGCTGCGATCTGCGAAACTGTCGTCTCTTTCGAGGCCTGCTGGCGGGGCCAGCATAGTCGGGGCGCGCGTGGACTCATAGTAGACCTCGCCATTCCGGGGGGGGGCTGCAATCTGCCACACTGTCGCAACTTTCACGGGCTGCTGGAGGGTGGGGGCAGCGGAAGGACATCATACGCGGACCCAGATTAGGCTTCGCCGTCCATCCTTGGGGGGGCTGCGATCTGCGAAATTGTCGCCGCTTTCGGGGGCCGATGGGGGGTGGGTCCAGCGGAGTGACGTCTTGCGCAGATCAGAGCGGGACCTCGCCCTCGCTGGGGGGCTGCGATCTGCGAAACTGTCTCTACCTTCAGTGACTGCTGGGAGGGCCAGAACAGTGACGTCCTACTCGGACGCAGAGTAGACCTCGCCATCCTGGGGGGGGGCGCTGCGAAGTGAAACTGTCGCCACCTCAAGGGCTGCTGAGGGGGGACAACTTCTCGCGCGGTGCTGTGCGAATCAGACCAGGGGCCTCGCCGTCGCTGGGGGGTGCGAACTGCGAGGCTGTCGCCAATGTCGTGGGCTCCCCTGGGGGCCCGGCCCAGTGCGGCGCTGCGCAGAGCGCAGCGGGGCTCTGCCATCCCCGGGGGGCGTCGTAAAACGACGCGAAGATCGGGACAAAATCGGATCGGGATAACTCGAAATCTCTGAGAATCGGCGGGTTTGGAGGATGTATTGGGCGCCGCGGCCGCTCCAGAGCGTTCCGGAACGCTCTGAGAGCGCTCCGGAACGCTCTGGAGCGATGTATCCCGACCCTAGCCCTGTTTTACGTCGCTCCTCGTGCTGCTCTGGCTGTCCCGTGGCTCGGGCAACGCGCGCACACGCTGCGCAGCCTGCACCACAGATGACGGTTTCTGCGTCAGCCTCATTCATGATATTAGCTTGGGCCGACTCTGCGTGCCACTCGATGCAGACGTGCAGATGGGTTGAGCAGCTTACCGCGGTCCGGGATCGTGCACAAGAGCGGCGCAGGATGAAACGACGCCGGTCCCTGGAACATGGGTTCGTACCTCTGGGGGGTCCACTTCGTGCGCGGCCCCCCAAAAAATGCATTGGAGGTTTGGGTCCTCCCCCTCCTCTTCCTTCTGCATCCTCCTCCTTCTTCCCACGGTTCCGAGGCAGGGGGATGCACGAAGGGCTTGCGGCGGAGGAGAGAGGCGGGGGCTCTCCGTGGGCTCTGCTGGACTCGGCTGCGTTCTTGCCTTCTGCCCTTCTGCCGTGGGGCGCAAGGGGAGCCTGGCGCGCCAGGTGTCGGGGGGGGGCAGGGCGGCGCATCTGGAGGGGGGGGAATGGCAGGGAGGGGGGAACGCGTGGAGGAGGGCCAGGGAGGCTTTCTGGACGGCCGGGGGGAAGACGGGCGGCGGAGGACAAGAGAGAGGACGGGGCTGCGGGGGGAGCATCAGACAGGATCAGGCGGACGGGCGGGAATGAGGGGGAAGGGGGGAGGACGAGGACAGGGAGGAGCTTGGGAGCAGCTGGGCCGGGGAGGACGACGGGCTGCGTCGTCGCCGGCGGGCTGGCCGCATCGTGCTTCCCCCGCGGCGTGGCTCGCCCTTGCTCCTGGCCTGCGGGCGCGCCCTCTCGGCCCGCCCGCCGGGCTGGCCGGCTCGTTGCCCTGTACCGAGGTCGCCGCCCTTGGCTTGGGGAGATCCTGGCTGCTGCAATCCTCGGGGGCTCCCCAGAGGAGTACCCATCGGTCGTTGAAAGTAGGTATCCTTGAACTCCCAGGTTCCAGTCTAAGACGTATACTTCAAGCGCCTTCCGACTTCCATAATCGAGTGGCTTCACCTTTTCCGTCTTCCTTAAGGGGCGGGCGGGCACCCAATCTGCTTTCAACGCCTTCCTACTTCATGTTTCTGCCTACTTCTTCCGACCGATGGGAACGTTGACCACATCGAGTGGTGATCGTTTTCTCATTTAATCGCTTCGCTCCTTCCGCCGGTCCATGCAGCCTCGTATCTGCCGTTTGCCCGAGGGCTCGTTGTCAATGCGGCGCTGCTGGGATCGCTCGGCAGGCACTTCGGGAGCTTCTTGGGGGCAGTTTTGAACCTCTCGAGGCGTCCCCCCAAAAGGGTATGGTGACCACAGCGAGCGGTGATTTGTTTTATCCATGGTTTTGCCCATCGGCACGGGCCTTCGCACCCTCTCGCCCCCCTATGGAGTCGGTCTTGTCTTGGCTGCTTTGGGTGCCTGTTTCGAGCAGGTGGAGTCTCCCCCATAGGACGCACTGTTGCAAACAGTCGCATTCGGCAGAGCTCCGGAGCCAGTGCCCCTCCCTCCCCCTCCTTCCGCCCAATGTCGAAGCGCCGAACACGAAAACGCTCACGTGGTGAGTCGGTGGGGATTCGGTGTGACCGCACGGTTTTGGGACTCGCGTCGCTCTCTGGGGATCTCTCTGGCGACCCGTGCGTCCGAGGTCCCAAAGCCGTGCGGTGGCGGACCGTGCAGTGAGGTCCTTGGCATCGCTCGGACGTGTGCGTTCCTTCGGCGAGGACCATCGAGGAGCATCCTTGATCATTTGGCGAAAAAGCCACGCACGAAACCGAACAAAACACAAGGAATGGACGTCCGAGCGATGGCGAGAGTCTTGGGGGGTTCTGAGGCCACCGCGCGGTCCGTCACCGCACCGGTATGGGACTCTTCCAAACCTACAGGCCCCCCGTGTTGTCCACCCCAAGGGTTGTGGAGGACGATCAGTGGAGAGGAAGCATGTTGCCAGATAATTTCCAGATGTCTGAAGCATGTGTTAAACATGTTTGAAACATGTGAAAACATGTTTGAAACATGTTTCAGAACATTCTTCCGACATTCTAAACACATTTTTAAAATCCAGTGATAGGACTGTCAGGGTGTCCACTGTCGTGGCATCCGCGAGGCTGCAGCGTGGCCAGCGCGGGTCTCTGAGGCATGCCCCGTCGAGCCGCTCCCTGGCTACTCCGGGCACGGCCACCGCGCCTGCCCTGCGGCGCGTCGCCGCCGCTCGCTCTCGCCGTCTCCGCGTTCCGCATCTGCCACCGCGGCCCGCCTGCGCCGGCCGGTCTCCTGGCTGATGCATGGCTCTGCCGCCCCGACGCCGGGCCAGGGTTTCCAAAGGTAAAAGGGTAGATCGGGGTTGGACAGACATCCTACCCTGACACGTCGATTAAAGAATTTGCCGTTTTTTCTGTTCGCGAGAGGGCGTCGCGGCCGTCATTTCTTGCGGGTCCAGCTCCGTCGGTTTTGGTCACAGGCCGTTTTCACTGAGGGGAGGTCTACTAAAGGGAGGTTTGTCCACCGCCGAGTATAACACCTCTCTTGCCACCCGAACCGCTGGGTGCCGTTTGCCCTGCACGCCGACTTCGCTCAGCGCTGCCCCACCACCTGCAGCGCCTGGTCGTAAGACAGGCGCTAGTTAAGCGCCGCTTGCTATCACTCGCGACGGTGCCGTGACCTCGCCCGAGGAGGAAACGTGTGTGTGTGTGTGTGTGTGTTCAGTCCGCCGCCAACTTCCCCCGATGCATCCTCCTGACCCAATGTGTGCGGCTTCAGGAAAGTACCGTCTGTTCCATCACTGATCGGGACGATCGAAATGGGTACGGAAAGAATGGGTACAAAGCCCAACAGCTGTCCCTGCTCATTTCGAACAGGACTCGCTGTCCGCGCCGCCGCGGGCGCTGTCCTCTGAAGACGACAGGCCGCCTGCCCAACAGCGGCCGCTGTCGACTGTGGACACCCTTTGTTCTTCGGCATTGTACCCATTGTTTCTTCGGGCGTCCAAAGCTGACAGCCTGGCGCGTTGGTTTTCGCCGTCGTCGTCGTCGTCCTCGTCCTCCTCCTGCGCAGCGCCGCCTCGAGACCCCAAGGGGAAGCGCGCCTCGGGGGGGGGCCCGCCGCGCGGCCCGGCGCCGTCGCCCGCTCCTCTCTCGTCTTGTTCGTCCTTCCCCTCCTCCTGCACCACTCCCCCTCCCCCCCCCTGCTCCTCCCCCCCCTGCTCCTCCTCCTCCTCCTCCTCCTCCTCCTCCTCCTCCTCCTCCTCCTCCTCCTCCTCCTCCTCCTCCTCCTCCCCTCCTCCTCTCCTCTCCTCCCTCCTCTCCTCCTCCTCCTCCTCCTCCTCCTCCTCCTCCTCCTCCTCCTCTTCCCTCCTCCTCTCCCTCCTCCTCCGCCTCCTCCTCCTCCTCCTCTCCTCCTCCTCCTCCTCCTCCTCCTCCTCCTCCTCCTCCTCCTCTCCTCCTCCTCCTCCCTCCTCCTCCTCGCCTCCTCCTCCTCCTCCCCCTCCCTCCTCTCCTCCTCCTTCTCCTCTCCCTCCTCCTCCTCCTCCTCCTCCTCCTCCTCCTCCTCCTCCTCCTCCTGCTCCTCATCCTCCTCCTCCTCCTCCGCCTCCTCATCCTCCTTTTTCTCCTCCTCCTCATCCTCCTCATCCTCCGCCTCCTCGTCCTCCTGTTTCTCCTCCTCTTCGTCCTCGTCCTTGTTCTCCTGCACTCTCCCCTTCCTCCTCCTCCTCCTCCTTCTCCTCCTCGTCCTCCTCCTCCTGCTCCTTTTCCTCGTCCTCGTCCCCGTCCTCCTCCTGTCTTCCTCCTCCTCTTCGTGCTCGACGTTCTCCTCCTCGTCCTCCTCTCTCCCCCTTTCCAGGCGCTGCTGCCCACGGCGTCCCCCCGCGGCCTCCCGCGGCCAGCAGCCCCCTGTGCGGCTCGCGCCTCGGCCGTGAGCACGGGCCGCGCTATCACGGGCGCCCCTCCTCCGTCCTTCCCCCCCCTTCTCGGGCCGATTGGTCCGTTGTGCGTGTGATACATCGGGGGGGGGCCCGATTTCGAAGAAGAGAAGTCGGCACAAACACCAGCTTTTGGCGCTCCGCGCGGATCTCTTGCATGCGCGCTGGGCCCCCCCAGGGGGGTGCAGGGCGGATCCAAGATATCCGCGCGGAGCGCCAAAAGTTTGTGCTTATGCAGACATTTCGTCTTCTACGATGGCCGCCCGCCCCGGAGCGCAACGCGCACCGTGCTCAAGACGCCTGGGTCCCTGTGCTGCGTGTCGGCCCGGCACGTGTCGGCCCACATTGTCGCGAACGCACCGCGCCAGACCTGCGCTTTCGGCCTACGTGTCGACTTCCGCCTCACTGCGCTGCGTGCTGCGTGTTGAGCATCGGGGCAGCTGAGCTCCGAAGGCGGCGGCGCTCCTCCGAGGCCCTCCGGCCTTCCGAGAGGCCGCCTCCGTCTTCGAGGGAGGCGTAGGCCAGCCTTCGGAAGGCCACAGGCCTTCCAAGCCTTGCGGAGCAGGCCCGGCCCCTCCGGCTTCCCCCGCCGTGCTCGCCGCTGGCCACTGCCCTCTTCGGACCGAGGCGGCCTCGTGACGGCCGTGCCGGCGCCGCCCGGCTCTCGAGACGGGCCCTCCGCGCTTCGCGCCAGGTCTTGGCATCGCTCGGACGTGTGCATTCTTTCTCGGCGAGGACCTTCCAGGAGCATCCTTGATCATTTGGCGAGGAATCCACGCACGAAACCGGAAAAAGCACGGGGAGTGGACGTCCGAGCGATGGCCAGAGGTGCGGCTGGTCTTGCGCTGGTGGGGCAGCGCCGGCGCCTGCGGCATCGGGGCCCCGCGGCGCGGCGGGAGTGGGCCAAGCGGCAGTGGGCACCGCCACGGCGGGCCTCTCGGCACGGGGGGGCGGCGTCGGCAGCGCCGAGCAGAAGTGTGTGATCCAACGTGGTAAAGCTGGCCAAGATCGACGAAGGAAAAACACGCCATAGACATAGACTTCTGGCGCTCTCTGCGGATTCCTTGGATCGGCGCCTGGGCCCCCCTGGCGGCGCCTCCCGCGATGCCCTTCGCGCGCTCCGCGCGCCAGGGAGAGGGATACAGCGCGGATCCAAGAGATCTGCGCGGAGCGCCAAAAGTTTATATTTATGCGTTGTTTCTTCTTCCAGTAAAGCTGGCCAAGAGGCTGGGCCGTTCGTCTACAGCCACGAGCTGTAGAACCCACCCTGACCAGATGCACCTCGACCCTGCGCTCTCGGAGATTTGCTGGTCGGGCGGCTGGCCATATCGGCCACGCGCAGAGGGGGGTCGGGGGAGGGGGGGAGGCTTCTTAGAAGCACCCTGTGACACTCCTCCTCCGTCTCTTCCTCCTCCACGTCCGCCTCCTCGTTCGCGTCCCCATCCTCGTCGCAGCCCTCGCCTTCGTCCTCGTCTTCGTCCTCATCGTCGCAATTGTCAGGTTTTCAGCGTGTTTGTACCTCTCACCGTCATCCTTGTCGTCGGGTTCGCCCTCGTTCCCGTCGTCAGCGGCGCTGTCCTCGTCATCTTCCCTGCTGTCGCTGTCGTCGTCATCCTCCTCCTCCGGTCGTGGGCCGGGCCTGCCGATGATCGCTGGGGGCGGCTGCGACAGCCTGGCGCCGCCACCCCTTGCGAGGTGCTGCATGGGGGGGAGAGAGAGAGAGAGAGAGAGAGAGAGTCGGCCACGCGCAGACACGCGCAGAGGGGAGAACAGCCGGGCCGAGGTCGGTTCCGGGAGGGAGGGGGAAGGTACCCTCGTGTTTTTTCTGTCTGTGGGATGTTCTCGTGTGCATCCCGGGAAGGGTACCGTTCGATGCTCTGTTCGTTTTGGCCAGCGGAGGGTCATCATGTTCTCGGGGGAGGTGCTTCTGGCCCAGGGGCCGGCTGTAGGGGGGCGGGGAGAGGCTTTCTAAGAAGCACCCCCCTGCTTCTCAGAGGGGTCGGGCCTGGTCTGTGGATGTGCAACCAGCGCCGTCCAAGGAGCGGCCTCCTTCCAAGAAGCCTTCCCCCCCTCCCCCAGCCCTCTATGTGCGCTCCGCTGGAGAGAGGGGGGTGGGAGGAAGGAGGACCCACGGACTCAAGTCGGGAGGGAAAGAAACACACAGACACAATTCATCGTCGATTCCCAGAAAAGATGGGAAAGTATGGGAAGTGGGGGGGAAGACAGAAACCCAGAAAGTACGGGCAAATATGGGGAATCTCGTTGTTTGTTTGTATTTATGTGTGTGTATGTATGTGTGTGTGTGTGCTTGGGCCCCTTGATAAAGAGAGGGGGGTGGGAGGAAGGAGGGCCCACGGACTCAAGGACGCATGGAGGCCCACCGTCAGCATCAGAGACCAGCAAAGGATGTAAGTGACGGGCACAACGCGCACGACAGCTGCACAACAGACGAGAAGACGAGGAGCAAGCTGGGAGGCTCCTGATCATCCCAGCAAGCCCCCGTCCGCCTGCCTGTCCTGGCTGCTTCCAGCCGAGGATGGAGGGAGGGATGGAGGAGGAGCAGGGCGAGGAGGAGGAGGAGGAGGTTTTTATATGTTTTTGCAAGTGGCCGTAGCCTCTGTATTACCCACGCTTCGCGGATCCCCGCCAGCCTGCCAAAAACAAACTTCAAGCGAATTGCTCTGATCCGGGATGTGTAGCAGCATGCAGTCACGCTCTAGGGGCAGCTTGGGGCCTCGCGGGGCCCTACAAGCTGTCAGCTAAAGTTGGTACAAAATAGCCTGGCCTGGAAGCGTGACCGAATCGACGCATGGCCAGTGCCTGAACCTCAAAAAGGTACACGGGCGCGGGCGCGCCCGAGCACGGTCAGCGAGGGTGAAGGCGACGACGACGGCGGGGGTGACCGCGACGGACAGCGAGCGAGGCGGCGGCGGTGAAGGCGATGACGACGAGGATGACGACGCCGGCGACGGGGAGGCTCAGAGAACAGAACGCGCGACGGCCAAAACGTCGGAAACCAGAGGAACTGCTCAGTAAAGTTGCCGAAGGAGCCGCCGGAGGAAAGTTCTAGAAGGGGCCCCCCGAGTAAAATTGAAGGAGCGCTCGAGTAAGATTCTAGGAGGCACCTCATCGGAGTCCTCCGCTGCGCTTCATAAATTTTACGCAAGGGTACCGTGGTCCGACAGGATCCGTGACAAACGCGCAAGTGTCCGACCTTTCGGATCCGTCCCAGACCCACCGAATTCGCAAAGGATCCGTCCAGCGCGCATCGGATCCGCAGAAGATCAGTGGCGGCTCCGTCGATGCGCGGTTGACGCTCCCGAGCGGGGACCCTCGTCAGCGTCCGCGGAAGCCCCTTGATTTGTTTCCGGGCGCCCAGCGTTGCGCCCATCGCCCGCGACCGGCAGCCGAACCCATTTGCCGCGATGCCCCAAGCTGGCTGGGTCGACGGCCCCTGGCCTAGCTGGACCGACAGTTTGGCACCTTCGTGCGATTTGAGACGTTGGGCCGACTTCTCAAATCGTGCCAATCCACCTGGCTGTCTGTAGTGGGACCCTTTGGGTTCATATTCGGGCCATGTTGGAAGCCTTTGGGGCTATCTTTGGGCCCTCTTGGGTCCGTCTTGGGGCCCTTTGGGGGCCCTCGTGTGGCCATCTTGGAGCCCATCGATTCAAGTAGGAGGGGTACCAATTATTGCTCCCTCGTTGGATGCATACCAGTCGCCTATTGGGGCTATCTTGGGGCGCTCTTGGGGCCACCTTGGACCTCTCCTGAGCCTCTTTGTTGGACGACCTTGGGGCCACCTCGATCGGCAGCGAAAAAGTGAACACGCAACCGTCATTGTTTTCCAAAAGTGATAGGATTTCGAGCTCTCGAAAACGTTACGGGGCGTTTATCTGGCCTTTTTTGGAGGCATGTTGGAAGATACCTCGAACCATCTTGGGATATCTTGTGCAATCTTGGAGGCCGCCTTGGGCTATCTGGGGCCCGCCTTAGGAGCAACATTGGGCCAGTTTGGACGCTCTAACCCATCGTGCCCCCCCCCTCCAGACGCAGAAGGAAAGGAGATGGGGGGAGAAGTGACCTCTCCCTGAAGGGGAACAATGATAGTGGAAAAAACGAAGTCCTTGAACGGCCTACTCCTAGGGGGCTGGTGGGATGTGGGGCTCCCGCGTGGGAGTGGACCAGGTTTGTTGCATCGGGAAGTTCCAAGAAGGCCGAGAAGGCCTTTCAAACTCCAGGAAGCCCCGGGCGGGGCGGGCAGACGCCCCAAGAAGTGCCATCGACCCCCCAGGATCCCTTAATTCATGCCCAGGCATACTCGCACCCTGACCCATTCATCGTGAAACCCGTTCATACGCAGACCCGCTCATGTTTAGCCGCCCGTACCCAGGAGTCACTCACTTCTTTTCGTCGCAGCGCGGCAGAGGCCATCCGCACGCGCGCTCACATGGCCCAGGGCATGGCGCACGAGTTGTCTGGCGGCACGACGGGGAAGGAAAGGAGGCGGAGGGCGGCCGCGGAACCCGGGCGCGGCGGGGGAGGACGGCACCCACCGCGCGAGGAGCTTCGGCGGGAGCGGCCGGGGCGGCCAGCCACTGCTGAGGCGACCTGGCAGCGGACGTGGAGCGGCACCGCGCCCACACCCAGGGGTTGAGGAGACGGCTGCGGGCGCTGAAGGCGTAGACCAGGTCGAGCCAGTGCAGCGGACGGGGAGCGGCGAGCGAGCCCGCCGAAGCGGGCGGCACCGCGGGTTTCTGTTGGGAGGCACCGCGGGTGGCAGGCACCTCTGCGATGCGCCGCTAGCGAGACGCGGGAAGGCCAGCGACCAGGGTGTCTGGGCCAGCGACCAGCTCGCTGCAGCAAAATGCTGTTAGACTCACCACCCACCAAACCACCCCAACCCAACCCGAAGGCTCAGATTTACCCTCGATTTCTAGTGGGGGGTCGGGAAACATTGAAAAAACACGCGTGGAACCTTTACCCCCCCCCCAACCCGAAATTCGGGTATTCGGGTTGGGTTGGGGTGGTCTGGTAGGTAGTCATAGACTGTGGTGCTGAGTTGCTGAGAGCAGAGCTGCAAGGCTGCCGGCTGCTGGCCGCAGAGCCGCCGAGGGCCGCGACGCGGAGCAGCAGAACAGACAGGGGTTGCTGGGCGAAGCAGCGACGACCGAAGCGGCGTAGCGCGGCGAGCAGCCGCCAGCCGTCGCATTGGACGCCGAAGCGGCGGCAGGGCGGCGAGAGGCGGGAAAGGGGAGGGCCGAGCCCGGCCAGCGCACGCATCACAGCTGGGCGTGGCGGGGGCGCCCAGCCAGAGGCCTGGCGGGTCGGGCGGGGGCGCCCAGCTGCAATAGCAGCGGGGCGTGGGCGGGGAGGGGCGGCCGACCCCGTCGGCGCACGCAGCATACAGTCGGGGCCCTGAAGAAGGACCCCTTTTGGATGGGGAGGAGTGTTTCACGGCTTGCCTCAGGTGTTCCTTATGTTTTCGATAGGAAATCGAAGCTTAACTTATGGAAAAAGGGGCCTCGTTCCTTATTTAGGGTTCCCCAGGTCAACGCCCCGACTGTATCTGGGAGAGCCACGGGCTCCCGGCCGCAGGGCCGGCCGGCCCTTCACAGGCGCCCAGGTGCAGGGGCAGCGGGGCAGACGACGTGGCGAAGCCAGGCGAGCGCCTCCCAGCACGCATCAGCCAAAGGCCGCCTGGGGGCGGCCAGGGCGAGACGCGCGGCCGACGGGGGGCGGGCAGCGGCGGGAGGCGCCACCAGAAGCGGCACAGGGGCCTCACCCAGGACCTTCCGGGCCGGCTATGGAGAACGCCGCGCCAGCAAGGAACACAGCAACCAAGCCTCTGATCCACCCCGCTCGACACTGAACCCTGCACCCGATCAGCGCACATACTTCTGGCAGCGCCCTCCGGAGGTGGGGGGGGGGGGGGCCCAGCCGACACACGCAAACGTCAGTGGCAGCGCCCACCTGGCGGGGCGGGCGCTCCAGCCAGGGACGAGGGGGAGAATCCGCCTAGTGGGTGGACGCTCCCGCAGGGCGGGGGGGGAGGGCGTGCCACTTTAGGGGGTAGCACGCGTGGGGAGTCCTGATCGACCAGGAGTCCTTCACACAGTGAGGCGCCTACACTAATACACTGAATGTCCCGCCGAACGTATTGCAACCCATCCGCATTCAGACCCATTTATACGCATACCGTATGGAGTGAAAGTGCCTGTCGCGTCGACCCATGGACACTTCGGAGGAGAAGGAGGATGAAGACGAGGGGGACACTACTGTTTGACATTCGGTTCGATCTTCGGAATCCCATCACAATCTCTGACCTATGCTATACTCAGATGTGTCGCGGGGTTGGAGCATACGTGATCATTGTTGCGCAGGCGTCGTTCGTCTTATGGTAATGGCCTGGTCATAGCATAAGACTGCACGCCGCTCATACGTGGCTTGATGGGCGACCACCGCCGATCAGCTGCATTGCCCAACCATCAGCGGGTTGCGTCTTGGATCTGTCTTGTTGTTGTGTGGCTGGGCCTCGGGCGTTCGCTCGCGATACTTCGCCAGCTGGCAAATCTAATCCCGGGTGCGCGGCGTTCGCGTGCGAGGCCCGCCGAGTCCAATTGTTTCCTGGCGATCGTTCTTTGAGTAGGAGCAGAAGGATGAACGAGTGTGGTCGAGGATGGGCAAAGGATGATGATGGGTAAGGGAGTGGGGTAGCGGGGGAGGGAGGAGGCGTGAAGGAAGAGGAGAGGAGGGACAATATTGGCTCTCGCTTATCAGACCCCTCCCTCCCGTCCCTTCCTTGGAGTTCAGCCCCCTTTTATTCACAAAGTCGAATGCCGAAGCAGACGCGGGTCCCGAAGGGCAATTTTGTTTTGAAACGTGGCAAACGCTCAAGCGGAATACAGCTTTAGTTGATGCAGAAATGCGGCAAGCGCGGCTGCGAAAGCAACGTTCCGTGGGACGGAGGTCTGATGGAAATGTCTCCGACCAGAGCTACGGCGAGTGCGTCGTTCCACTGGGCAGAAGCTCAATGGAAATGTCCGAGACGTGGTACACGCTGCACGGGTAACACCTACTTCTGATGCAAGAACACGGCCAGCGATGCAAATCACTTCGGAGCCACCGTGCGTGTGAGAGAAAAAGGCGTCTACGGAATAGGCAGCACCTGGGAAGAGAGAGAGAGAGAGAGGGAAGAGAGATTAGTCTTCACATTGACTAGAATAGTGAGGTGTTTGGGATGAAGAAGGGTTTGGGATGAAGAAGGAAGCGGAGGGGTGAGGTGTGAGGAGCAGGATGAGGAGGCTCGGGGGAGTGATGCGCGAGGAGGAAGCGGAGGAGGACGACGAGGACGAGGGCGAGGACGAGGAGGACAAGGAGGACCAGGGCGAGGAGGGGACGCGCTGTCTGCACGTTGATCAGCATGCATCCCTCGCCCCCTGCCGAACAGGCACGCCTTCCGTGGCATGGCGACCTCCGCTCTGGATGGGGGGCGTCCGCGATGCGGGGGGACGACAAGGACGACGACGAGGAGGACGACGACGATGAGGACGACGACGACAACGACGAAACGACAATGACGATGACGAGGACGACGAGACGAGGACGACGAACGTCTACGACGATGACAAAGACAACGACGACGGCGACGACGTCGAGGGCGAGGACGAGGACGAGGACGACCGGCAAGGAGGACTCCCCAAGGCGATGTGTCGTCCTCCTCCGCTCACGCTGTGCCGGCCTCCCCCAGAGCGCCCTCGGTAATCGAGGAGAGCCGCAGGGGGTGGGGAGTTAGAGGAGGCGGAGGAGGAGGAGGAGGCGGAGGAGGAGGAGGAGGCGGAGGAGGAGGAGACGGAGGCGGAGGAGGAGGGAGTTAGAGGAGGAGGAGGGAGTTAGAGGAGGAGGAGGCGGAGGATGATGAGGAGGAGGAGGTTGTCCTCGTCTCCCTCGCCTCCGGGTGCCCCCCGTTGGACCACGAGGCACCCGCCGTGTGCCGCAGCATGTCGTTGCAAGGCGTGCTAGTTTGATCACCCCCCTGGGGCCAACTGGCCCGGGGGGGGGGCGAGGCCGCGTTCGATCAAACCTCAGGCCGTCAGGAACCAGGAGGGGGAGGAGGAGGCGGAGGAGGACGAGGAGGAGGAAGAGGGGAAGGATGAGGCTCCTCTTTGTCGCTCTGAACTCAGAGCGAGCAGGAGGTTCTCACTGCGCGGATTCCCAGGAGAGGGGAGATTCGCCGCCACCGTGCGGCCATGGGCGAGGAGGAAGAGAGGGAGCAGGGGGAGAGGGGAGGTCCAAGGAGGATGCGGAGAAGGACGGGGGGGGAGGAGGAGTGAGACGGGGAGTGGTGCACCATTGCCCTTCCGTCTCCTCCTCCTCACTCGAACTCGTCCTTCTCCGCACTCGCAATCTTGAAGGCGCCTCATCGTTCCGCCAAGTCACTCCGCACTCCACGCCGGTCTTCTGCATCCCAGGCCCCCCCACACCCGGTCGCAGTATTCCCCACCCCTTCGAGTCCCCTCCCTCCTCTCATTTTTCTTCTTTCTGCCCCCCGCGGCATCCTGACCTCACTTCTTTGCACGCCGTCATTCCACACTTCCCCGTGGTATAGCTAATGTTCTTCGTGCTTGTTGGACGTTCCTGTGCATCATCGGGGAGGGTAATTACCCTCGAGCGTTCTCTCTCCAATCTCTGTTTGGTGCTCGAGCCTTTGAGCATGTCAAGCTCCTGGAAGTTTTGAGCCGTTTTTTTGTAGCGGGGGGCAGAGCCGTGGCGTGGCGGCTCCTGCCCATGATGAGGCGACCGGGGGGATGCTGGGAAACACTGCGCAGCAGGCCTTGGAGGATGCTGGGGAGGACTCGGCGGCGAGCGAGGGGGGAAGTGAGAATGAGAAGGCCTTCTCAGAAGGCTGCGGGGCTTCTCAGAAGCCCTCGCGCCTTCTGAGAAGTGCTCCCTCTGTCTTCGGAGAAGGCTTAGGAAGCTTCTCAGAAGGCCGTGGGACTCCCGAACCTTCTGAGTCGGGAGCCTCGAGACGGGGGTCAATGCAAACGGGGGTCAGCCAGGACACCGGATCCTGCAGGATCCTGCGAAGACCCCTCTGGCCGACCCGGGTTTGCGAAGGCCTGCGTTGCAATCGTTTGTTTCTTCCTGCATTGTAGTCCTTGTGGTTTCCTGGTCAGAAGATCCCCGACTGAGAAGGCCTTCTCCTTCTCACTCCCCCCCCTCGCTCGGAGGATGCTGGAGGAGGTGTCGGTACGATACGTTCGCGCTGCGTCGACGCGGCGGCGACGCCAGCCCGAAAAAGTTCAAGGTTTGGCGCCCTTGGTGGCCGGGAATCGGCCGCGGGCAGACGATCTGTGCCATGGGAGAGCTGCGATCGTAGAATGCCGGGCCTGGCGAAAGGGGGGGATTGGGAAAGGGGGGGTTACGAAATGTGCTGCATGCAGCTGTTTTTGGCCCCATCGAGGGGCCCATTCCTCGATACATGGCCGCCTCCGGCGCCGGGAGGCGCTGGGAAAATCAGCTACGCGAGCTGATTCTCAAAACCCCCCTTTGTTATCCCCCCCTTTCGCCCGACCCGAGAATGCCGAAGGATCCACGCGGTGTCAGAAACCAACGTTCAAATCGTCACGACACGAACTTGGCGCAGGGTGCCAGTCAACGTGGCGGCATCGGAATGTGTAATGACCGAGGTGCCAGAATCGCCGTGCGGGTTCCACTCCTTGCAAAGTGCCTACTCGCAAACGTCCGCAGCAAAAAACATGCTGTTTGCCTTCATGTAATACATCGTAGACCCCCCGCGGCGGATCCATGCCATTTGCGAGTAGTTACTTTGCGAGTCGTGGAACGCGCTTGTCTACAGAGGCCTGGAGCAGGGGGAGCAGTAGCCGGAAGAGCCAGCATCGGCAGCGGCAGCTCCGGTGGCAGGGCTTGCGGGGTGAGAGAGGGGAACATGCGGAATTTAGGGAGAGGAGCATGGTCCCTCCTACGGGACCTGGTTTAGGAATTGAACATTAGGTCGGGCATGTCCTCCTACGGGCGGATTTTGGACGAACATGCAAGTTGACAGAAACTCGTTCAACATCGTCCCCAGGTCCCCAGGTTATTTGTCGACTATTTTTGAATAGTCCTCCTGTATACGAGCATGTCTTATTCTTAACATGAACAATAAGATCATTATCAGGATCAATATGGTGGTTTCCAAACATGACGTTGCCGTCGGACATCGAAGGAGTTGTCCAGTTTTCCGCGGCGGAAGTAAAACGGCGGCGGTTCCGCCGGCGGAAGCTCCGCGGAGGCCGGCGGAATCAAAAATTGATTTTTCAAGAGATGACATCATTTGGGGGGTCAGGGTTTCCAGAATCGGGCACATGAGCAGGCGGTGTTAAGTCCATAAAGGGAAGGTGAGGAAGGATGATGAGGGGGCGGAGGAGGAACAGCAGCCGCAGCGGCAGAGTGCGAGCACGAGGACCACGAGGACGAACAGGCGAAGCAGAAGGAGGATCGTCAGCAGCGAGTTGAGCAAACCAGATATGGGTGACCGGAGGTGGAGGGTCGGGGAGTAGGTCTTGGAGCCAAGAGTCCGTGCAATGCCCCTGGAGCAGTTCCATCGTATCTGCACGTGCTTTTCCAGTGCCTTTGAAGAGCATGTTTCAATGCTACAACCCTCGTCAAAATTAACCTCAAAAATGTCAGACGTGATTGAACTGCTTGTCGGAAGATCTGGGGCCGAGTATCGAAGAGTGCGGGGTACTTGCATGCGCCGCCCCTCCAATGTCGGCCGACGTCAAACTTTCGAGTCAACTTCAGTCAGACTATCTTTGCCCTCGCCCCGACATTGAAGGGGCGGCGTGTCGACATTGAGGGGCGCGCCGAAATCGAAATGACGTGCCAGCAACTTTTGAGTTTAATTTTGACGAGGGTAGTAGACAGCCTTTCGGCCCTTTCACGCTGCATTGCATTATCCAGCTGCGTTGCCACTCATACCCGCCACCTCGCTTTGAGCGGGGGCTAAATACGGACCCCGGACCTATCATCCCTGTATTAGGTTTGACACATGAGGGGGTGGAGGACCCCCCACGGCTTCTTAGTAACCCCCCTCCCAAGAGCATACTTAGACCCCCCGCTTTAGCCCTCCTCGCCCATGCCTCTCTCTTTCGCTCAAGCTCCTCCCCGTCCTTCCTCCGAGCGGGGCTGCTGTACCTTCCAGACATGCCGGGTGAGGGCTTCCGCGTGCGGGTCACACTGCAACCAGAGCGGCCACTTTACAACCAGATGGGGCACTTTACAACCAGCAAGGATTTTCCTAGAAGGGCACTGTACAACCAGGAAGGCCACTTTACAACCATGCAAGTAAACGCACAGAAGCGGCTCATGCTTTCCAATGCCCAAAATACCCGTGGATCCACGAAAGGGGGGAGACTTCGCTCTCTGAAGCGTGTTGGTTGTAAAGTGACTCGTCTGAAATGAGATTATGTGAAGTGGCGGATTCCAAATGAGATCCAACACGAATCACATTTGAATATGATTGGCTCCCTTCCCACTGGGATCCTATTGTCACCAGATGAATATCATTGGTACCAACAGGATGTTTCGCTATGGGGCCTACGGTTGTCCTATCGGAATCCGATAGGACTGCTTCCTATTGAAGCCCGTTGGGGCCCTTCCGAATGGAAATCGTTTGGACATCCCATTGGACTGCACTCGACAAGAACCTTCCTATAGGAATGTTGCGGGAAACGCTCTGGGGTACTAAATGGACCCCTGGCCGGGGTCGTTTTGGATTCGTATGCGAAAGCAGTAGGGACCGCTTCAAAACCAGATCGGCGAACGGGGTCCTTCCTTTTCGATCCATACGGGCACACTAATGGGATCCCAACTGAAACCCAACAAGAACCTGTCCTCTTTGAAACATACTGTACCCCGATTGGCGTCCTAGCGCTATCCTTGTGGTGTCCAAGTGGAGCTAGTGGAACCCAATAGAGATCCGATGGAAATCCTCCCACCACAGGCTGGTGACTGGCCTGGGCGCTTAAAAGCCTTTTTGTTTCATCTATGCCCAACACCTACTTCGTTTTTCGGAGCCTCGTAACCTCTGCAGGAAAATATTGCTTCTTCCGACAATAGTAGGACAGTGGGCGTTCGCCGCACAAGACGAGGAGGAACACGCGCGCCCTCAGTAAAGCGCAAATGTGACCAAGATGTTGTCGGTGAAATTCTAGCCAACACATTGGATGTCATATAGTTGTTTGCAACAGAAAAATGTGTTGTCCCCGCGCCTCATCGTCCGGCAATGACACAACCGTCTGCTTTCGCATGTGCGGAAGCATGCGTACCCAGGAAAGCGTAAATGTGGCCAAGAAACGTTTGGTAATTTCTAGCCATTGCGTGTGGATGTAAAACTGTTGTTTTTGTTTGTTTTGTGCACCATGCTTGCCCTCGCGCCCCATCGTCTGGCAGTATTATCTGTTCGCAATTGCTAAACAAGACGTGCGTGCCCAGGGAGCGGACACTTGGCCAACAAAGCAATCGTAATTAACATTCGGGCCACTGCACGTGGATGTCAATGTGTGATTGTTGGCCTCGCATACAGTGTTTGTCCTCGCGCCTCATCGCTTGGCAATGCCAAAACGGCATGCCACCTTTGTGCAACAGAAAATGCATTCTCATTTTGAACACGCCGTTCACTAAAACTAATAAGATCGACGCCACGTTGCAAATATTTACGATTGTCGACGTAATTACAAACTGATTATATAATCATTTTGTAGTTCGCATTCGCGGAAACTGTTGCACCCAGGGGTCAGACTTGTGGCCGAGAAATCGCGTGTCAAATGTTGGCCAGCGCGTGGGGATTACACCATGTGTTGCTGTTCACCATAGGCCGTGTTTAACCTCGCGCCTCATCGTCTGGCAATAGCGAAGCCGCATGTTGTCGCAATTGCGGATGCACGCGTACCCAGGAAGGCGGAACATTAAGGAACCGCTGGTTGAATTCGAACCGAAGCATACGGGTTGAATTCTGTGTATGTGTTTTGCCTCGCGGGCAATGTTTGCTCTTGTGCCTCATCGTATGGCACTCGAAAACCCTATATTTTCGCATCCGCAGAAGCATGCCTACCCAGGAGGGCGGAAATGTGGCCAAGAAATCGTTGGTACAATTCCCACTAGAGGCCCTCCAAAAGCCACAGAGAAGCGCAACGCGGCAGTAGCAGCCGCAAGGCGGCCCCCCTCCTCCGCCCTCTCGTCATCCTCATCCTCATCCTCGTCCTCTTCTTCCTGCCTCTCCCTCCTCCTCCTTCTCCTCGTCCTCGTTTCTCCTTCTCCTCCTCCTCCTCCTCCTCCTCATTCTCTTGTTCCTCCTCCTCCTCCTCCTCCGCCTCCTCCTCCCCCTCTCCGATGAGTGCCGCGGAGGGTGGAGTGCCGAAGGGTGCCGAGGAGAGGAGAGTGCCGAAGAGGGCGGAGGAGTGTGGGGTGCCGATCGCTGCCGCGGAGGGTGGAGAGTGCCCAGGAGTGCCGAGGAGGGTGGAGTGCCGACACATCGGCCGAAGAGGTGCCGCCGGCCGGAGGCGCAGGGGAGGGTTTACCAGCCTCGAACATATCCCTATCCCTAAGATTGACATGCCAAAAGGCGATGACAATCTTAGGGATTCGCCCTCAAAAAATAAGGGAATCCCTAAGATTGGCATCGTGATGAGGAGGTGCCCAGCATAGGGATAGGGATATGTTTCAGGCTGGTAAAGGGTTCCAAAAACGGTGGTCCATTTGCGGAGGTCCCCCGGGTTCCAAAAGCGCATCCCGGAAACGGAAAGCACAATTTGCACCGCCGTTCTGGGGAGCGTCTTGGGGCTCCGGGGCGTTCTGTTCTGGAGGCGCATGCCTGTCTAGACCAGGGCACAAAAGCGAGGACAGCACGAGGAAGCCGTGCTCCGAAGCCGCAGAAGCCTGGGCAGAGCGCGCAGGCCATCTGAAGCCTCAGAAGCTTCGGCAGAGCGCTCGGGCGCTTGGAAGCCTCAGAAGCCTCTGCAGAGCGCTCGAGCGCTCTGAAGCCTCAGAAGCCTCAGAAGCCTCAGCAGAGCGCTCGGGCGCTCAGAAGCCTCTGAAGCCTCGGCAGAGCGCTCAGGCGCTTCGAAGCTTCAGAAGCCTCTGCAGAATGCTCGGGCGCTCAGAAGCCTCTGAAGCCTCGGCAGAACGCTCCGGCGCTCTGAAGCTTCAGAAGTGTCCGCAGAGCGCTCTGAAGCCTCTGAAGCCTCTGCAGAGCGCTCGGGCGCCCTGAAGCTTCTGAAGCCTCTGCAGGGTGCTCAGGCGCCCAGAAGCCTCTGCACAGTGCCCACGCGAAACGCCCACGCGCTTCGGAAAGGCTGGTTGTAAAGTGGCCGCTCTGGTTGCAAAGAGCCCCGTCTGGTTTGTGAAGTAGCTGGTCTGGTTGTAAAGTGGGTTGCTCTGGTTGTCGAGTGGTTGTTTCCAAAGGAAAACCATCGAATTCATTTTTTTCTGGTTTTGAAGTGACCTACTTCGGTTGTAAAGCGTCGTTCGCGTTGTAAATAGACCGAATCTCCCCTTCCCCCACGCAGCCCGCCGAGCCGTTCTCGGTTCAGGGCCTGCATCCATATATCCTGCCCAGGGGTCGGGAACGTCGGCCAGAGGTCAAAATGGTTGCTCACTTTTTGTTTAGTGCAGTTGAGCAAGCCTTGTTCGACGGCAGAGCACGGACATGCCTCTCATGCTAGCTCCCCACAATTTCCCGCCGCTCCTGCCTTGCCCCCGCTCCCCCCTTTTCCGTCTCCTCCTCCTCTTCCTCCTCCTCCTCTTCCTCCTCCTCCTCTTCCTCTTCATCCTCCTCCTCCTCCTCTTTCTCTTGTTCCTCCTCCTCCTCCTCCTCCTCCTCCGCCTCCTCCTCCTCATCATCATCCTCCCCCTCTTTTCCCCCTCCTCCTCGTCCCCCCTCTCCTTCCCTGCTCCCCCCTTTGTGCCCTGTAGAGTTCCGCATTAATCTTGCGCGTGGAGCCTTGTCTCTATCCATGCGGGAAGGCATCCCGCGGCCTCAGAGAATAGCCTAGCGTTTTTTTGTGCCCCAGCTCCCATTGAAAGGTTGGCCCAAGGAGACTCCCAGAGCAAAGCGCTCGAGCCGTCGTAAGTGAAGCCGAGACCCTCCGAAGCCGTGCGACCCCCCCCTGTCCTCGGCGAGGGCCATCATAGGCTTCAGCCACTCTGGTGGGGACCATCGAAGGCCTCACCCCGTCGGCGGCTGCCATCATCGGGTCTGCTGGGGGTCCCGCTCACGTTTTGACACTAACGCGTCGCACGCCAGTGGAGGGGGTCGAAGGCCTCCCTGCGTTCCCTCGGCCCAGGAAGACGGCCGAAGGAAGGGGTGCCAACGTGCCTCCGCGGCTCTGACCTTCATGCCTGCAGGCGCCGCTGGCAGTCGTCGGGTGTTTCTCCCCTGCAGGGGGGAAACACTGGCGATTGCTTCGTCGTCGTCGTCATCGTCGTCGCCGCCTTCATTCCTCCTCCGCGACCTTTCACGCTCATGAGCCGCACAGGGATCCTAAGATCCCAAATGCACCCTCGGGTCCGGCGAAACCGCCGGGGGCTCCTAGGGGGGTCCTCTGGACGCATGTCGGCGCCTCGCTCTCTTCGGACGGGGCTAGGACAAGGATACATCCGCTCCAGAGCGTTCCAGAACGCTCTGAGAAGGCCGCGGCGCCCGAGACATCCTCCAGATCCGCTGGATCCCAGAGATTCTCCATGAATCCTCGCCCTATGTTCTCTTCGTCCCCAGACCCCCGACGTCGTGATTGTTTCACAACGTCGACCCCCAGAGGACTGGACACTTTCCCCCGGACCGGTTTTTCATCCCGAGTCGTGTTTTGACGGTCCCCAGAGGCAGAAAATAGCGATAAAAACCTCCCCCCTCGACTTTCTTCACAGCGCGAGGGGGTCTGGGTCCTGGCTTCGTCTTATCGCTCGCCCTGCAGGGGGGCTCCACAGGAGGAGGACCGTCGCCCAGGCGAGCTGCCTGGCCCATGCGGCGGGCGGCGGCGCCGCGGGCCGCCGCGGCGCCGCAGGCGCGGCCTCGGCTGGCGCCCGCCTCTCTCTCGCGGCCGCGTCTCCCTCGCATCTGCTGCCGCTCGGCTGCGCGCGGGATTGCTGGCGGGGTGACCTCTGAGTGCGGGCTTCGGGGCTCAGGAGACGGGGGTCGATGCAACTGGGGATCAGCCAGAGTGCCGGATCTTGCAGGATCTTGCAGAGCCAGAGTTGCATTGTCCCGGGCTTGGGCGCAAGATGTTGCATGATCCTGCACCCCCCCCAGGGGAGGGAGGAAGCGCGGGGGAGGAGGAAAGTCGGAGGAGGAGAAGATACGACACCGCTTCCCTTCCCTCGTGTTCGCCTTTTTGGGCCTCACGGGAGGCCCTCGTCGCCACGCTGGATTCGCCGCGAAATTCTTATCAGAATGCACCCTGGGAGAGGTCCGAGGAGTAGCAGTATCAATCTCCTTTGGTTTCCCCGGAGGGCGGAGGATGAGGAAGAGGAGGAGGAGGAGGAGGAGGAGGAGGAGGAGGAGGAGCTTGCTTGCTTGCTTGCTCTCGGTTGTGGGACGATGAATCGAATGACTGCTACGCTCGTGTAACTTGCGTTAGTCTTTACACAGCTGCATGCACGTAGACGAGGGACCGAATGGGCCGAGGGGGCCGAGCGAAGGGGACCGACAAAGAAGCGAGGCGAGCGACGGGCAGAGGGCCGCGACCGACGACGGGCGGGGAGGGAGGCGAAGAGGAGCGGGGTCAATCTATTCGTGCGTCCGCTGTCCGCACCCTGGTGCGAATCTGTTGCCAGGTGCGCAAGGCCGCACAGCCGTAGCTCAATGGCCACGGCGCGGTGCTCGCGCCCTCCAAGCCCGAGCTAGAGCCAGGCCTCGAAGAAAACATCCTCCTCCGCCTCAGGCCACCGCACGGGCAGGTCAGCGTAGCTGTCCAATCCTTCAGCACGTCGATCCAAGCCGATTTGCAGCTCCCGCTGTCGTCACTGCCCCCATCGAGTGGAGGCCTCCATCACCTGCGTCTCGGTATCCACGCGGTCAAGAGCGAAGACCACCTTCAGCGTGTCCGTCTGCTTGCAGCTCTCCAGGCGGCACAGACGCACGAAGCTAGGGGCCCGTCCTGCATCTCGGCCAGCAGCGCCGTCATCACGTCCTTGAGCCTCTTGCCTATCCCATCCTTCGAGAGCGCCTCTATCATGGCGCGGAACACGGCGGGCGCTGTTGGCCCCGGACTCTTTAGTTGCTGCATCACCTTCTCCGCCTCCGCGTCGTGCTCTCGAGACGCGGCCGCGTCCGAGTCCTTTACCGATTTCGCCTTTTTTCCTTTAGCTTGCTGACCTCCGCGCGCATGTTGTTGGCCACCTGGGGTAAGTCCTGACTCTCGGTCTGCATAGCCTTGATCACTGGCGACTTCTCCTCCAGCAGCGCTGTTCTCGTGGTGATCCCCCACATTGCTCTGGACCGTTGCGCCAGCCACGACACGAGCATCGGGAGGTGGAGGAGGAGCTCCTTGAGGCCCGAGTCCTTGACCACCAGCTCCCGCTCCTTGGCCTCCGCGCGGCGTCGGCTTCCTCGCCGAGTCCTCGGCTTCACCGCTGGGCTCTCCTCGCCCGCTGCCCCTCTGGCCACTCGAACGCCTTGGCCGTCCTTCTGGCTCTTGCGGCGGTTGTCCTCCTCTCCGTCGGGCCTGCACCGCGCTCCACCACCCCGAGCGTTGCCCGGTGAGCCCCCCGCCTGCGGCCGCCAGCGGCCGAGCTTCTCGGTCTCCATGGCTGCCGGCGCCGCCAGCTGCCGTCGCCGAAAAAGAGTGCAGTCGCACCTCCAGCAGGGACGAACCAGCCAGCAGCAGAGCGGAAGTCAGAGCCCCTCAGGCGGGCAGAAGCCAATGGTTGTGGATGGCGGCGCTTCGGGCGGGGTTCTGCAGGTACTGGTCGAGGTTTCACCATCGATAATGAACGTCCCTCCTGCGTCGGCGGCAAGTGGGGGCAAAGATGACTACGGAGCAGCTTGTACGAGGGAAGCTCTACACCACACAACGCACACTCACGAATGTTCGTGTCGTTGAACTCGTAGGGGTACGCCGTGCTGTGCATGATACATCGCCCTGCGTGCCACGCGCGTGCAAGGTGCCGTACCGTCTCCGTCTTCGTCTGGAATGTCGTGCCACAATTAATGCATGCATTGCTCGGTGTAAGTGTGTGAAATATGCTATGTCATCCGTGTCCTGCTTGTCGTGAACAGCATACAAGTGCTACTAGTGCCGCGCGCTATTTGAATACACATCCACATCTTGGTCCTTCAGGGTCTCCTCGGATCTGACATGTGAACTTCTGAGCTCCCGAATATTCCCAGCTGGCTTCACCGCCCTGAGCTGTGGGTACCGATGCCACTAGTACGCCTGGCGGTGCCCACTGCACAGCAGCGAAGGCGCTCCGCAGGCACCTTACATCAAGGGAGACGAAGGGGCCGCTCACCTCCTCATCCCACAGCAGGTTCCTCAGCGAGCGGCTCTCCCAGACCAGCGAACAGGACTCCGGCCTCAGGGTAGCCGCAGAGAACCTCCCAATCGCGTCGCAGCAGACGCGCCCAAGGATGAATAACAGCATCAGAGTTGAACTGCCCAGATTCCACAAGCGTTGGTCGGCAGCGGTACTCGCAGGTCGCTTCCCACTTCATCTCGCCGAAGAAGACCCCCAAGATGTGGCTATGGTTCCGCGGATCGCGTGCGATTTCCTGCCACATACGGAGGCGATGTACTTTTGCTTCGAAACGAAACGGGGCGAGGCCCCAGAATCTGTAGACCTTCCTCGTAGTCATCACCTTCACGTGGTCGTTATGTTGGCTGGCCGTTCCACCCATCATCGATCTCAACTTCCTCGGAATTGAACTGTAAATCTGTCGAGCTTATGTGTCCGTCCAACAGTTAGCTATAGTGCCCGACAGTGCCGCCCCCGATACCAAGCTGATGAGCATGAGGCGCTTGACACGCTTGGGGGCGGCAGTATACCAGAAACCCTGCACCATCATCCAGCCCTTGCTGATGGCAGCCAGCCTCGAGGCCAGCTCCGTCGCATTCGAGTTCACCGCGTTGAACCAGCCGCCCAAGTGCTTCAGCTCGTGCCCGCTCCTGCAGCCGCTGCGGGAAAGGGCCTGGATCGTTTGTCGAACCAGCTGCCGAGAACCCCAGGAGGCGACCACGTCCTGCTTCGATCTGTTCTGGCCGTACTTCCTCGCCGCCAGCGCTTGGTCCAAGCCTGCATCATTCCTCTGTGAGCAGATCACCACGTCTTTGGCCGTGCGGATGCTGGTCGGCACCAGCTGTGACTTGAAGATGTCGTCCATGAAGCCACCCAATCTCGCGTCGATCGTGCGCAAGCGGTCGTCGAAGTCTATCAGCATCGCCTTCGAAGTCGCCGCCTGATCCACGAGGGCCCACTTCTGGACAGCTATGTGGTAGTTTAACATAAACAGCTCGGGCTCGGAGGTGACGCACATGAGCCCATGAACCCCCCCGTGCCGCTGTTGATCGCCACCTCCGTGTCTGCGCCTGGCACAATCACGGTGAGCGACAGCCGCCTGAGCCTGGATATCGTCGTCACACACTCCACATCCTCCTCCTCAAGCTCGTCGACTGCGGTCTCAAGACGGGCGCGGACGCCCTCCTCGATCTGGTCCTTACCTCCGCAGCCGAGGGCATCCGTCGCGTCGCAGCTCTTGTGCAGCATTGGTTGGCCAGCGATGTGGCCCTTCCACGCCACGACCCTCGCTGCCATCATCAGGTGCTCTCGGCGGCGGCCCCGAGCGGCGAATGCCCACTCGGGAGGGCGGAAAGCCCCGCCCGCCACCAGCTGCACATACAATGTACCAGGCGGCGACCTCCGGGCCCAGGCTCACCGTTCTTCTCATCAGGGGCGAAGCCGCAGGACACGGAGGCCTGATGGGGGGAGTCGCCGTGCACGTCGGGCGCGTAGCACAAGTCGGAAAAAAAACGTGGGCGAGGCTCGCCGTGCTGCTCTATGTGGGGCAGCTGGAGGAGGAGGAGGAGGAGGAGGAGGAGGAGGAGGAGGAGGAGGAGGACCAGGAGGAGGAGCGCTAAATTGTTTGTGTGTATGGCGTTTTCTTCCTCGTCTAGAGGAGGGAGGATGGGGAGCAGCTGGCGGCCTAAGCACCGGAGCGGCTCCAGTTGCCACCGGGGGAGCGGGCGTCTCGGATCGCACGGCGCCGACGACCGCCCAGCGCCGCGCTCTCTGCGCGCTTGGGAGGAGGCGGGCAGGCAGGCCCAAGACAGCGACGGGTCCCCCCAGATCGCCCCAGAGCGCTGAAACAGCCGCGGCGCCCGCTGCGTCCTCTCAGCCCGCCAGCTCTCAGAGATTCCCGATGTAGCACTCGAAGCAGAGGTTCCTGACCGTAAGGACCTCGTCCTGGCGATACTCGGGAGCTTGCCTGGCATCGGGCTCCCATGCCCCCGCGGCTTAGCTGCCCCGACGCAACCGTGTTGCATCGCAGCGCGTACCGTGTTCAAAATGCCTCGCGCCAGGCCTGCGTTTTCAGCCTTCGTGCCGAGCTCCGTGCCAGCACCTTATGTATGGGTCGCGTGCTGCGCATCGTGGCGGCTACCTCGGAGGCCTGCCAGGCATCGAGCTCCCGCCCCCTCCGCGAGATTCGGGCTCCCCCAGCCCCGGTTCTTCGGCGAGCGAGGGGATGAAGTGAGAAGGAGAAGGCCTCCTCAGTAGGCGGCGGGACTTCTCAGAAGCCCTCGCGCCTTCTCAGAAGTTTCCGTTGCGCCTTCGGGAAAGGCTCAGAAGCTGCTCAGAAGGCCAGGGGACTTCCGAGCCTTCTGAGAAGGCCTTTCCTTCTCATTTACCCCCTGGGCTCGCTGCCGACCAGTGACCGCGGCGCCCGCCAGATGCTCCCGCCAGACTGTGCCTCGGCGTCCTAGGAGGCCAAGGCGAGGCGGCTCGCCCAGGGCAGGGCCTTCGCCAGGATCGGCGGCGAGGGAGGGGGGGAAATGAGAAGGAGATGGTCCTCTGAGAATCGAATCAGAAAAAGAAACAGCATACTAAACTGCTGGCGCTCCGCGCGGATTTCTTGGATCCGCGTTGGGCCCCCCTGGCGGCGCCTCCGGCACTGCCCCTGGCGCGCTCCGCGCGCCAGGGAGGGGGGTCTGGCGAACATCCAAGACATCTGCGCTTGAACCGTTTCCTTTTTTCTTGTGCTTGAACCGTTTTCTTTTTTCTTCCTCTGAAGAGGGCAGCGGGACTTCTCAGAAGGCTTCTGGCCTCCTGAGGTCAGAGCTTTTTCAGAAGGCCAGGGGACCGCTGTGCCTTCTGAGAGGGCCCGCCCCTTCTCGCTTCCCCTCCTCGCTCGCCGCCGATGGGAGCTGGCGCTGGGGGTCTGGGGTGGCCCAGCCTTGGTGCTGGCGAGCAGAAAAGGCGGGGGGGCAGGTTCGAGGTGCTGGGTCCGAGAAGGTCCTCGGCCTGTCGCCCTCGGACACGGATCCGGGGAAAAACATTGCCTTGGCATCGCTCGGACGTGTGCATTTTTTTTCTCGGCAAGGACCATCGAGGACCATCCTGGACCATCGAGCAAGAAAAACACGCGCGAAACCGACAAGTGCACGGGAAACGGACGTCCGAGCGACGGCAAGATGCACCCTGGGAGGTCCGGGGACAGATTTTGAACGGATTTGGCTTCGCCCCCACTCCAGATCGATCGTCTGGGGCCCCAACCAGTTCAGACCCCCCAGCGGCCTCCAAGCAGGGACGAAAACTCCTCAGGACCGGATGTGACCGGGACGCGGGCGCTCGTCGCGCGTGCACGTGGCGGTGGGTGGGCACGCGGCGGCGGGCCCGCTGCGCTGCTCCCAGGCTCTCCTGCTGTCTCCGCTGGCTCTTGCTCTTTGGGCCTTGGCTTAAGTCGGGCCTGTCCCCCTACAAGGGGGATTTTCGACGAAAAATGAAAGATACACCTAAAATAGTCAAAAAATAGTTTAGAAATAGTCTTGTGACTATTTTTTGAGTATTGTTTGACCCTTTGGGGGTATTTTTGGTGTATTGTTTATATTTCGTCGAAAATCCCCCTGTAGGGGGACACGCCCGACTTAAGCCTTGGGCGAACAAAACGCATGGCGGCGGGCCCGGGCCGCGTCCCAGGGTGTGGGTCGGGCAGCGCACGCAGCCGGAGGTGCCCAGGCGCCCGCGGGGAGCCCACGGGGCGCACCTCCCGGGCCAGGGCGTCGCTGGCAGCCTGCGGGGGCGAGGTCTGCGCCCGTGCTGCGCTTCAGCCGTCGGCGGCCGCGCGCGGTCCTTGGTCGGCGGATGCGTCTGCCGCTTGGCCTTCGAGGTGCGCTGCCGCTCCGCGAGATGGAGGCGAAGGCCATCAACACGTCCACCCCCTCTGAAAGGCAGGCGGCTCCGCGGGCCAGTCTGCTGCGGGTCGCCCCGGCGCCTTGCTGCGGCGACTCGCGCTCGGAGCCGCAGATGCCGGGCGGAGAGCCTGGAGATCAGTCTGGTCGCTGCGAGCCCCCGAGCCGGCAGCTCCGCTGTCAGCAGTGGCACCGGAGGCAGAGCAGGAGCTTCATGGCTAAGACGCGCACCCCTGCTGAGGGATCGCATGCTTCGGTGGCAAATCATAGGAGCCTTGTATACCCTCTGAATTCCGTCTTCAGCGTCGATAAGCGTCGATTAGCGTCTGAAGTCTATGAGAAAGCGCCGCTTTAGCGTCGGCTAGCGTCGATTCGCGTCGGTCGATTCAGCGTCGAGTTAGCGTCGACTAGCGTCGAGTCGCAAGAGCTGGCAAGGCTGCCCTGCTGGCGCGACGTTAATGGACTCGAAGGCGGCCGTGTCTGGGCTGCCAGGCTGGCCGAGGTGGAGCGCGTTGTTCCAAGCCTCCCAGATTGGGCAGGAGCAGATGCGGTCGGAGGATCGCGCCGCATCCTCGATTTATCGGCGATGCGGCTCACTGTGGAGCCCGATGTTCTCCACGCCGACGGCGCCGATGCACCCCTGGCGTCGCCGATGCGTCGCTGCTGCATCGCCGATGCGTTGCCGGTGCGCCGCGATTCTCCGACCCCATCTGCTCGGACCCCATCTGGAAAAAAATGTGTCATGCCAAACCTGAACTTCATTATTTTTATGTGTTTTGTCTCGTGCTTCTTAATTTCATGAATGGATGATTATTTGCAATGGTGATGATGTTGGTGTCTGTGGTGGATACGGCGCATGTCAAACGGCATGCGATGCAGCTTGGGTCTCTCGTTATGCTTCTGTGCCGCGGCCAGCCACGGGCGCGCAGGGCGGCCTGCCGGCGAGGCCCGCGCCCGGGCCCGGCGGGTCATGCGGGCGCTGGGCCCCCGCCGCCCGGAGCCCGCCGGGCGCGCCGCTCCTGCCGGCTGCGCCCCACCTCAAGCAGTGGCGAAGCGTCCCGGCTCGCCTATAGCCCCACCGAACAATGGTCTCAGAACCTTTTGTGGTTTCCACGACAGGTTCTTAGAACATGTCTGGCGGAGTGCGTCCTGTTTTAACACATCGGGCTCATGTTCTAAGAACCTTGTTTCTGCTATTCGAACATTGTTGGGTTCTACGAACATTTCGTGGTAGGACTATCGGAATGCGGGGACGGTCGGTCCCTGCTCAACCACCGCGCCCGCCGGGCGCGCCCGTCCCTGCCCCGGGCGGGTGCGGCTCGCTCGCGCCAACGTTTCCGCTGACCGCGTCTCTCCCCGAAGAAGCCAAGACGGCACACTTTTATGTCCGGCGTGTCCCCCATACAGGGGGATTTTCGGCGAAAAATATAACATACCCCAAAAATACCCCCCAAAGACAAAAAAATACTCAAAAAATAGTCCCCCGACTATTTTTGGATTTTTTTTTATTACTATTTTTGGGGTATCTTTTATTTTTCGTCGATAATCCCCCTGTAGGGGGACAGGCCCGACTTAAGCATACTTGCGCGTAACCTTCCGCGGCCCTGCGCGCATTTCTAGGATTGGGTCCCCTTGAGCCCCTGTGTCCCCTGGGGGCCGTCCCGGGGGTGTCGTCGGGCCCTCTTGGGTCGTCCTGAGGATCTCTCGGGCCGTCTTTGGGAACCAAGAAATACCGATATTGGTACTCCATGGACTTCCACCAGGATGCCGCGGCAAATCCAGCCGTAATGACGAGGGCCTCCCGTGCCTCCATCCTCCCCTGAGTCTGAGTATTGAGGGCCCTGGGGACGGAGGCAGGGAGGAAGCTTCCTCCCGGCTCGAGAGCAGTCTCGCCCTTCCCCCCCTTCCCCCCCCCCCCCCCCCAACTCCTCTGGTCGCAACCAGGGCCGCACGACCCGGGCGGCTTCGGCGGCGGCGGCCGCGGCCAGCAGCTTCGGCCGCCTGGCCTTCGTGGGCGGGGGCAAGATGTCGGAAGCCGCGGCCTCGGGTTTGATGCCTCTGATCGGGCGGGGCAGTGTCAGGGGCGGAGGGTCGCTGGTTCTCCCACCTGCCCCCTACGCCTTGTCAAGACTGCTCCATCAACCCCCTCCCGCTTTCCCTCCGCGCCCTCCCCCTATTCTTTTTCTTCCTCCTCCTCCTCCTCCTCCGCCTCCTCCTCTCTCCTCCTCCTCCTCCTCCTCCTCCTCCTCCTCCTACTCCCCGTCCTCCTCCTCCTCCTCCTCCTCCTCCTCCTCCTCCCCTCCTTTCCTTCTCCTCCTCCTCCTCCTCCTCCTCCCTCCTCCTCCTCTTCCTCCTCCTCCTCCTCCTCTATTTCCTCTATCTCCTCGTCCTCCTCCTCCGCCTCCTCCTCCTCCTCTTCCTCCTCCTCCTCCTCCTCCTCCTCCTCCTCCTCCTCATTATCATCATCCTCCTCGTCCTCCCCCTTCTCCTCCTCCTCCTCTTCTTCCTTCTCCTCTTCTCCTTCCATTTTTTCTGTACGAGTGATATTTGAGAGCGCTCGAGAAGGGCCAGGCGCCTGGCCACACGAAGCTGGCCAGGGGGATCCGCAAGTGGCACGCCTGCCATGGCTTTTGCACATAGGGGACGGGGGGGAAGGACGTGGAGGAGGAGGGGAGAGGGAGGACCAGGAAAGAAGACAGAGGAGAGAGAGGGGGGAGGATCATCAGGAGCCATACGAAAAGGAAGGAGGAGGGCGACGGGGAGAAGGAGGACACGGGGAGACGGAGGACGGCGCGGTGCCGGTGCCGCGCCGTGCCGTTCCAGAATCAAGTAGTCGTGGCAGAGGGGGCGCGCTGGCTTGGGGGCGAGAAAAATGAGGAGTTGGGCTGGCTGCGGGGGGCGAGGAGGAGGAAGTGGAGGAGGAGGAGGAGGAGGAGGAGGAGGAGGAGGAGGAGGAGGAAGAGGAAGAGGAACTGGGCTGGCTGCGAGGGGGGGGGGCGCGGGGGCGCGGTGCTGGTGCCGTGAAGTGCCATGTCATCTTAAGAAGGTCGGGGAGGGGGGGGGCGTGTTGGCTGGGGGAGGAGGAGCTCGGCTGGCTGCGGGGTCTGGCCGCGGGGGGCGAGGAGGAGCGTGACCTGTGCTGGCTGCAGGGGGGGGCGGGAAGGGAGGAGGTGCTGTGCGGGTGTTGCCGTGCCGTGGCGTCCTGGAGCAAAATGGACGGGGCGGAGGGGGCGCGCTGGTTTGCAGGCGAGGATGGCATGGGCTGGCTGCGGGGGGCGAGGAGGATGAGGAGGATGAGGAGGAGGAGGAGGATGAGGAGGAGAGGTTGAGGATAAGGAGTAGGGAGGAGGGAGAGGAGGAGGAGGAGGAATAGGAGGAAGGGAGGAGGAACGAGAGGAGGAGGAGGAGAACGAGGAGAGGAGAGGAGGGGAGGAGGAGGAGGAGGAGGAGGAGTTGGAGAGGAGGAGGAGGAGTTGTAGGAGGAGGAGGAGGAGGAGGAGGTTGAGGGTAAGGAGTAGCAGGAGGAGGATGAGGAGGAAGAAGAGGAAGAAGAGGAGGAACGAGGAGTTGGAGGAGGAGGAGGAGTAGGAGGAGGAGGAGGAGGAGGAGGAGGAAGGGGAGAACGAGGAGGAGAACCATAATCATGGGGCGGAGGAGGAGGAGGAGGAGGAGGAGGAGGAGGAGGAGCTTTTGCGCGGTGCCGTGCAGGGGCATGTTGGAATACTATGGTCGGGGACGGGGGGCGCGTTGGCTGGGAAAGGAGGAGCTGGGCTGGCTGCGGGTGGGGGGTAGGGGAGCCCTAGTGCCCATGCCATGCTGTGCCCTGCAGTGCCAGAATAAGGTAGTCGGTGCGGGGGAAGCGCTTTGGCTGCTTGCGAGGAGGAGATGGGCTGGCTGCGGGGGGGCGAAGAGGAGCAGGACCTGGGCTGGCTGCGGGAGGAGGAAGGGAGGGGGCGCAGTGCCAGTGCCGTGCCGTGCTGAAATAAAGTGGATGGGGGCGCGCTGGCTGGGGGGGGGGCGAGACGGAGATGGGCTGGCTGCGGGGGGCGAGGAGGAGGAGGACGAGGACGAGGAGGAGGAGGAGGAGGAGGAGGAGGAGGACGAGGAGGAGGAGGAGGAGTGAGGAGCTGGGCTGGCTGCGGGACAGGTGAAGGGGGGCGCGGTGCCAAAACAGTGTTGTGCTGTGCCGGAATTATTAAATGGTCGGGGCGGAAGGGGGTGCGCTCGCTGGGAGGCGAGGAGGAGCTGGGCTGCCTGCGGGGGGCGAGGAGTGGGCTGCCTGCGGCGGGGCAGGGGGGGCTTTGTCGTGCCAGAATAGACTGGTCATGGCGGAGGGGGTGGTTTTGCTGGGGGTGCGACGAGGAGATGGGCTGGCTGCGGGGGGCGAGGAGGAGGTGGAGGAGAAGGAGGAGGAGGAGGAAGAGGGGGAGGAGGAGGAGGGAGGAGGAGGAGGAGCGGGGCCGGGGACGGAGGGGTGCGGTGCTGGTGCCGTGCTGTGCCGTGCCGGAATGATTAAGTGGTCCTCAGAGAACGATGAACATGATAATGTGTTGGTCTGATGTTGATGCCCAAATGATATGATGTCCGTTCTAACACGAAGAAAGGCGTGATTCGTGTTGAAGCACAAGTGTCAGCACGTGTTGCTCCCCGCATCCCGGGTGTGGTTCTCGTTTTCCAGAACACCCTCTCCTCCTCCTCCTCCTCCGCTCCTCCTCCTCCTCCTCCTCCTCCTCCTCCTCATCCCCCTCCTCCTCCTCCCCCTCCTCTCCTCCTCCCCCCTAACCATGCTTGCTACGTGCCTCGGCCCCCCCAGGGGCTGCGCACATGCCGCCGGCCATGATTTGCACCCCCCCTCTTGGACACCCCCCTCTTGGCCGCTCCCGACACCGAGTCTCCGAGGAGAGATCTGGGCCTCCCGGATGGGGTCCGAGGACACATTGTTCATGTCTATCGGGGGCGGACAGGCTTCCTAACCTGACAAGTCGATTGGCGAATTGGCCGTCTTCGGTTCGCGAGAGGGCGTCGCGGCCGTCATGTTTGCGGGTCCAGGTCCGTCGGTTTCGGTCCCAGGCCATTTTCGCTAAAGGGAGGTTTACTAAAGGGAGGTTTGTCCACCGCCGATCCTAATTCTTCGAAGGTTCTTTAGTTTTCTGGGGTGCCAGGATCCTGTCATTTCTAATTCTTCTGTCCTGGGCCTCTTCCAGGCCACTGGGGGGCCAGGAACAATCAGAAACGAGCACCATTAGACATGAGCAGGATTAGAATTGAGCGACGTGTAGGCCTCCTGGATGGGGTCCGAGTGGATTGGGTCGGAGGGTCGCGCCGCATCGCCGATGCATCGACGATGCGGCTCGATGTGGAGCCCGATGTTCCCCACGCCTGCGTCGCGGATGCGTCGCCGACGTCGCCGATGCATCGCCGATGCCGATATGATGGCAATGCATTGACGGTGCGGCGCGATCTTTCGCCCCAATCTATTCGGAGCCCATCTAGGTGGCCTCTAGAAGAGCATCCCGATCTCGGCGATGGCGGCTCCCTGGGTGGCCGACCCACCACCACCAGCGCCAAGATCTGGGATTGTCTTCCCCCGGCGGATGCAGTTGCCTTGTCTTGACTTCGGTGCCCACTTCGAAGCCTTCAACTCCCTTCCCTCCCTCGACTACGCGAAAGAGTGACCCTTCGCCAGAGTGACCTCTGGGCCCCACTGGAGTCCCCCGATCGCCGAACGCGATGCGATGGTAGCGTCTTGCGCGCTGGGGTTCGGCCTCCCCCCCCCCGCGGCCAGCGGCCCCCCCTCGAGGCCCCCATCAACGGCCACTCTTGCCCAGGGCCACTCTGGCGTATAGGCCACTTCCTCCCGACGACCACAGCCAACCCACACAGCAAGGATGGGCAACCTCCCCGAGGGCACATAACCCTTACATCCTCGTCCCTCCGTTCCTTCCTTGGCGCCCTTCGCTGGCCAACCCCGCCCGACAAACGTTAACGTGGCTCTCCGAGCTTAGTGGGCCCTGGAAACGACAGGGCCGTTTTTTTACTGGTTCCGTTTTGCCGTTTTTTTGCCAGTTCCGACGCCGTTTTTTTACCGGTTCCGTCGCCGTGTTTTGACCGGTTCCGTCTCCGGCTCCAATCTTGGAGCCGTTTTTGTTGCCGTTTCCGGTCGCCGTTTCTTTTTGCCGTCTCCATTTTCGAGGGATATTTTTATGGAAACAGTGCAAAAACGGCCCTGCCGTATCCGGGGCCCATTACCAAGTCTCCGGTGTCCCTGCAGTCTCACCGCGCAGGCTTCCGCATGCGGGCCTCCTCCTCCTCCTCCTCCTCCTCCTCCTCCTCCTCCTCCTCCATCCTCCTCCTCCCCCTCCCTCCTCCTCCTCCTCCTCCTCCTCCTCCCCCATCCTCCTCCTCCTCCTCCTCTTCCCCCATCCTCCTCCTCCTCCTCCTCCTCCTCCTCCTCCTCCTCCTCCTCCTGCTGCGGGCCGACGGTGCGGCCCCATCCCGCCGCGGGCCCGGCCGAGGCCATGATCACAGGCGGGGCCCGCCGCCCCCGTTCGGCCGGGCCGGGCGGAGGGCCGGAGGCGCGGCGGCAGCGCTCCTCCTCCACCCCCCTTCTCCGCCTCCTCCTCCTCCTCCCTGGGTACGCTGGTCCTCCCCTCCTCCTCCTCCTCCTCCCCATCCCTCCTCCTCTCCTCCTCCCCATCCTCCTCCTCCTCCTCCTCCTCCTCGTACTCCCTTTCCTCCTCCTCCTCCTCCCATTACCCCTCCTTCTCCTCCTCCTCCTCCTCCTGCTCCTCCTCCTCCATCTCCTCCTCCTCCCCTCCGAGGCTCCCAGACACGCAGTGGCGAAGCGTCCCGGCGCGCCTATAGCCCCACCAAACAATGTTCTACGATCCTTTTGTGGTTCCCACGAAATGTTCTTAGAACATTTCTGGCGGGGACTGTCTTGTTTTAGCACATCGGGTTCATGTTCTAAGAACCTTATCCCGGAATGCCGCGAGCGTTCAAGTCTGAACGATGCACGTGGTGTCAGCATTTCGCAGGCGATCTATCGTCCCTGATCTCCGGGCCCCTGCCCCCCCCCCAAAAAAAAAAAGAAATGGGGTGTGAGAGCATATGCTCTGCGACCACTTGCGAACCTTACCCTTGCGGGTCACCTCGACGGTGGGATGTAGTACACCCCCACGTGGGGTTCACCTCGCTACAGACGCTTCGAATTCAGAGCCCTGACCGGCGTTTCAGAAGTCCGACTTGCAGAGGCAGGATCCTTGCTTTGGGCATACACCCCTGTAGGGGGGCTATTCGTGCGCACCCCCTGTCGAGGTTGGACGACCCCTTCTCGTGCACCCCCGAGTCGGCCCCAAAGGCCCTGTCCGGGAAAGACCCCCACGACGTCGGCGACTGGGGTCGCCATACCCACAGTGACGAACCAAAGCCCAGGCCATCACGTCACGAGCCTCCCGGACAGCTGGCACGAGGGTCAACGAGTTCGGCAGCAATCCTGGGAGCCTTGTGTACCCTCGCAATTCCGTCTTTAGCGTCGATCAGCGTCTGGGGTCGATGAGATAGCTCCGACTTAGCGTCGGTGAGCGTCGAATTAGCGTCGTCGACTGGCGTCGACTAGCGTCGATTGTGTTTTGATCAGCGTCGGTCTACAAGGGCCGACAAGATGGCATGGGAGGCTCCCATGAGCTTCTTGTTTTACTGTTCATTCTGTTTCCACCAGAATCCGCCTGTAGGCTGTAGGAGGACATGCCCGACCGAAGGATAGCGGCCTCACCTTGGAACGCCCCGCAGTCCGGGGCGTCTCCACGGGGCTCTGGGCCTTCGGCGAAGGGGGTCGTGCTCTTGAACTGCTGCGTTCCCGTGGCCACGAGTCCGCCGTGGCGCCCCGAGCCCCTCGCGTGCCACTCGCCTCCTCCCCCCGGCGTGCTCTCCCTGCCGGGCGCGCGTGCGTTGCTTCTGGCACGCGTCGTATGTCTGCTGTGTTGCGCGTGCGCGATATTTAGATGCTCATATCAAAGCAAGTAGCTGTATATGTTAACATGTGCGCGTGCTTCTGAACATTGATACGTTGTCTGAGATGATATCTTTATAAAGAGATGTAGACATATATATATATATAAAGATCAACGCACTCTGCTGGGTGCTAGTTGGCATTCGCAGATACATGCACACGACAGCTCACGAGTTGTAGTACACGCGGATTGGCATGGCACAAGCTGTATACAGAAATGTGTGCGCACTGCCAAACTGTGTTTGCATTGTTGGCGCTGTGATCGCACGTCTCTAGCACATACCTGCTCTGTGTGGATCTGTCTAGATACAGGTCTAGATACAGTCCCAGGCACTCTTGTTCCCCCCGGCCTTTCTCGGCAGGGTAGATAGGGGGCCACACGCGAACCCTACCCCTACCCCCCACGATTTCTGAGGGGGGGGGGTCACTTCGCTCGGGAGCTCCCGAACGGAGTGAACCTCCCCCTCCCCCGCAGAAATCGAGGGGGGTAGGGGTAGGGTTCGTAGGTGGCCCCCTAGTAGAGAGCGCTGGGGGCAGCGGGCCGAACAGAGTCAGGCGCTGGAGGCCCAGTGACCGTATAGGCCGCAGTCAGGGGATCTCGGGAACGACACGTCGTGATGTTTAGCACGCGGGTGTTCTTTGCAGTGGCCATCACCCATCATGTGTTGACTCACTGCAGGTCGGCCTGCGTGGAGTTTCTGGTTTCTCAGGGTTCGCACTGTGGTCGTTGCCGCATCGAGTTGAGATCTGGTGGCCGCGCTCTCCTCCCCACTCTCGTCCCCTCCCTCTCTCCTCCTCCATACACACTAAACGGTCATCGTCCAGCAGATTGATCGTCATCATTGTCATGACAACCAATATCGCATCGGCTATGTATCTGGCGGGTAGAACGGCGGTTGCACCCGCAACTCCGACATCTCGAGCATTGCATTCTGCCAGCCCCTGGCTTCCCTGGCCCAGGGTCCGTTGTTCGTCCCATTGCAGTTCTGGATGGTCTGGAGGCCCGCGTCGGGCCTCTGGAGCTCGGAACCGTGGAAGCACACCAGAGGCCTGGAGCGGTGGCTATGAATTCAGCTCGTGTGCCGCCTCGACTCGCCAGGCTCACCTCGGCCCCCTCCAAGAGGCCGTCTCCAGAGGAATCGCCAGGCTCACCTTGGCCCCCTCCAAGAGGCCGTCTCCAGAGGAATCTTGGCCTGCCGGGCTTCAGTTGCGTGCTCTTCGTGAGGCAATCTGCTCTCCCCATCGAGGTTCCACAGGAGTCCGTACCCAGACCTCCGGCGTAGTGCTCCAAGAGTTGTGCAACAATTTCGGGCTCCACGGCCGCGTCTGGGGCCCAGGGCCATCAACAAAACACATGCAGGGTGAGCAAACCGGTCCCGGGTGAGGGTCGAGAGACTTGGCCCCCACGGATTGCCAGACCAAGACGTCGGAAGTCTGAGTATAGATTGGGAGACGTCCTGCTGATCCTTCGTCCTGTTGTCCATTTTACTTCACTTTACCTGGTAGGCTCGCTGCCTTCTCCCCTTCCATCCCCTCACCTCTCTCCTCACCTCTCTCGCCTCCCATCCCTCCACAGGAGTGGTGTCCAACAAGTTGGTGGCTCCTAATGACCTGATCGTGTCTGATCCGAACCCGCGGCGGAGGCAGTACATGGGGGAGAAGCTGGGCGTCAAGGCGCCCCGCTGGCGTAATGCCAAAGTTAGGCGGTAACTAGCCGATGCGCCAGCAAAATTATTATAATTGCAGGCGAACAGTTGTTTGGGCAACTGTGAAGATTGTTGCACGTAGCGTTGCAACATGTTGACTGCCGCATGCACCCAAGGACGTCTTCCAGCATGAGTGTGGATCCCGTGGCCAAGCGAGTATAAGCGCTTGCGCGAAGTGTTTCAACACCCATCTGATATCTCGTAGTCCATATGTGTGTAGTGTCCTGGTGTACACGCAACCTCCTAGGCCTAGGTCACCCGCAGGGGCGGGTAGACAACCCACTTCGTGGTCTGGGCAAGAGGGGCGGCATTTTCTGGGAGGATCCGCGAGAGCGCGACGTGCCCAGGAGAAGAGCTTCACTCTTAGTCTCGTGGGGGTTGTGCAGATGCCCAAGCCTTGGTCATACATCAGCCGCGGCGCCTCGTATTCTGGACCCAGTGATTTGTACTTCGCATCATCGACACAATGATTAGTTGTCACTCGCCTATGTCCACGCTTGGTCAGCATGCAACTGCGTCTACGAGGCTTGCAGCGCGCCCACGCATGTCAAGCAATCCGCCACTAGGTGACGGGGTGTAACGTCGAGGCCGCGGACGGTGCCAGCACCATTGTGTTCGCCAACAAGCCGCAGCACTGCCCATCCGTCTTCTCGCAACTACGTGGCAGGACCCCTTGCTTCTTGGACGTTCATGTGTGCTAGGGTGTGCTGTCATTTCTTGGTTTGAAATGGAGCGGGAGGCTCTGTATTCGGCGACGGCAGTCATCTGGTGATAAGTGGCGGGAGGCTGCGCGGCGGCATGCGGGAGTTTGCATCGTATCGTTGGCAGTTGGTCTGGACTCGAGTCAATTCAGCGTTGGACACATCAGCGCGTATCACGAGATCCGAAGGCAGTAGTCATCGAAAGATGGCTCGCAGTTTTCAGTGTCGCAATCCCACTCGCGCAAGTTAGCGTCGCTACACTGGAACTGGATCCTGAACAGGTTCCGAATCTATCGTCTGCTCGTCGCGCGAAGTCTCAGGCGACGCACGCAGTGACCAGGGTAGCTAGTCATGCGAAGCAGTCCGGTGATAAGCTTGGGGGAAGGAGAATCTCCTCCTGACCCCTCCCTCCTTTCCCTCCTCCCCGGCCCGCTCCTCCTCCTCTCTCTGTCTCTTCCCGCACCTCCCCTCCCTTGTCTCTCCTTCACAGGTACTCACGCCGAGTTCTACAACTCTCTGATCTTCTCTCCACCGGAGACGTTTTGAGCGTGGCGATGTTTTCTACATGGGATCAATCCAAGCTGCTTGTGCTCTTTTATTTTTGGTTCTCAATCCGAGCGTTCTCGGTCCTTCAGGCTGGTGCTCCTGCTGCAGCGTGGGCCTCATTTTAGGATCTGCGCTGTGCTCCCGTCGTTCAGACTGGCGCTCTCGCCCTAGCGCGGACCGCTTTTCTGGATCCGAGTCCTTCCTCATCGTTGTCGCCTCCCTCCTTTCGCCTCCTCCACCTTCCCCTGGTCCTCATGCTCCGCCCGCTCCTTCCACTCCAGCTCCTGCTGTTGCTGCTGCTCGTCCTCGTCCTCCGCCTTCCTCATCTTCCTTCTCTTGCTCCTGCTCGTCCTCCTGCTCATCCGCTAACTCCCTAATGTACGAAGCTTCCCCTTCCTGACCGCGAATAACACGATGAGGTCCTCCTTGGAGTTCCAGATCCTCCATGACGCGCGTCAGATGCGGCGCGATGGCGGTCAGATGTCAGGGATGCCGCGAGCGCACCTAGCTTGCCCCTCCCCCCTCTCTGCCCTCCTTCCTCGGGGAGGAGGAGGAGGAAGAGGAGGAGGGGCAGGAGCAGGAGCAGGAGCAGGAGGAGGAGGAGGAAGAGGGGCAGGGCAAGGAGGAGGGGGAGGAGGGTGACGAGAGGGAAGAGGAGGAGGAGGAGGAGGAGGAGGAAGAGGAGGAGCAGGAGCAGGAGGAGGAGGAGGAGGAGGAGGAGGAGGAAGAGGGGTAGGGCAAGGAGGAGGGGGAGGAGGGTGACGAGAAGGAAGAGGAGGAGGAGAGGAGGAGAAGGAGGAGGAGGAGGAGGAGCGTCCTCCTCACTCGTGGTACGCGGTGGGGACTGCCTCCCAGGACTGTGACCGCCCTCCGGCCGGCCGAGCGACGGAAGCTCGACAGGCTCTGCACGCACGAAATGGGTACTGAAAGAATGGGTACAATGCCCAACAGCAGATCCTGTTCATTTTGAACAGGACTCGTTGTCCACGCCGCTGCGGCCTGTGTCAATTCGAGACAGGAGGTCGCCTGCCCAACAGCGGCTGCTGTTGGTTTGGGACAACATTTGTTGTTGGGCATTGTACCCATTATTTCCGTACCCCTTTCGGGCGTCCAAAAGGACGTAAGAGTCAAGCAGTGACGAAGCGTCTTGGCATGCCTATAGCCCTACCAAACAATGTCCGAAGAACCTTTTGAGGTGTGCACGAGATGTTCTTAGGACATTTCTGGCGGAGCCTGTCTTGCTTTAACGCATCGGGTTTATGCTATCAGAACATTGTTTTTGTTATTATAGCGTGTTTGGGTTCTAAGATCATCTCGTGGTAGGCCTATAGGGATGCCGGGACGGTCGGTCCCTGCTCAAAAGAGTGAGCTTTCGCCTGAGTGGCCTTCGGTGCCAGCCCACTGGGGCCCCGCGATCGCCGAAGGCGATGCGATCCCAGACCCCCTCGCGCTGTGAACAAAAACGCGTCGGCAGGTTTTAACCTAACAGCGAAGACTGATAGGTTTCTAGTGGGGTCAAAAGAGAGCATCATGACTCCCCAGGGGGGTCTGCGCGGTATCCGGACGGGTGCCGGGGATTTGTTTATTAGCCAACAGTAACACACTTCCTGATCTTCGAGTTCCCAGAACTCCATTCCTGGGCATGATTTTGAATGCCCGGAGCCAAGTGTAGGTCACTTCGTGTTCTTCGAGTTCCCAGAACTCTATTCCTGGGCATGATTTTGAATGCCCAGAGCCAACTGTAGGCCACTTGGGGTTCTTCGAGTTCCAAGAATTCCATTCCCGGGCCACATTTTGAGTGCTGAGGCAGGCTGATGCTGAGGCTGAGGCAGGCTGAGGCTGAGGCAGGCTGAGGCTGAGGCCGAGGCTGAAGGCAGGCTGAGGCTGAGGCTGAAGCAGGCTGAGGCTGATGCTGAGGCAGGCTGAGGCTGAGGCTGATGCAGGCTGAGGCTGAGGCAGGCTGAGGCTGAGGCCGAGGCTGAAGGCAGACTGAGGCTGAGGCTGAAGCAGGCTGAGGCTGAGGCTGAGGCTGAGGCTGAGGCTGAGGCAGGCTGATGCTGAGGCAGGCTGAGGCTGAGGCTGAGGGCAGGCTGAGGCTGAGGCTGAGGCTGAGGCCGAGGCTGAAGGCAGACTGAGGCTGAGGCTGAAGCAGGCTGAGGCTGAGGCTGAGGCAGGCTGAGGCTGAGGCTGAGGCAGGCTGGCTGAGGCAGGCTGAGGCTGAGGCTGAGGCTGCAGGCTGAGGCTGAGGCTGAAGGCTGCAGGCTGAGGCAGGCTGAGGCTGAGGCCGAGGGCGGCAGACTGAGGCTGAGGCTGAGGCTGAGGCTGCAGGCTGAGGCTGAGGCAGGCTGAGGCTGAGGCTGAGGCAGGCTGATGCTGAGGCAGGCTGAGGCTGAGGCTGAGGCTGAGGCAGGGTGAGGCTGAGGCAGGCTAACTAGGCCGAGGCTGAAGGCAGACTGATGCTGAGGCTGAAGGCAGGCTGAGGCTGAGGCTGAGGCAGGCTGAGGCTGAGGCAGGCTGAGGCTGAGGCTGTGACTGCGACTGCCGTTGCCACTGCGATTGTCATCGCGAATGCGACTACGACTGCGAGAACAGCAGAATTCTACAACTGGATTCTCATCTGAATCTCAAGGGGAATGCTTCCAGATATGCTCCTACACATCGCTGTTAGGTTGCTTTGCCGGGATAATTCTATAGTGTCGGCCCTTGGGGGCCCTTACCGGGCCTCGGGACCGTCAAGAAACGACCCAGAATGAGAAACGGGTCCCAGGGAAGGGGTCCAGACCCTGGGTGTCGACGTTGTAAAAAAGTCACGACGTCGGGGGTCTGCGATAGCAGCGTCTTGCGCGCTGGTGCTTGGCCCCCCGCGGCCCCAAAAAGCCGCGCACCCACGGCCACCCTTGCCCCGGGGTCACTCTCCCGGACGTGCGATGCCCTGATTGTGTTGTCATGCGGGGCCCCTGGAAGTCCCGACCCTTTCTCCCCAGGACCGGTCTTTCGTCTCGAGTCGTTTTCTGACGGCCCGAAGGCCTGAGCCTCTGGGGCCCAGAGGCCGAAAACTTGCCAAAACAGCCCGTCCCGATTCTTTTGGTACGACGCGATAACGTCTGGGCTTGCGTGTTGCCCAGAAGAGCAGTCCCTCCCCTGCCCTCTGCCCGGGGTCTCCCCTCGCGGGCCTTGCGGTGGAGGGGGGGGGGGGCGGGCCAGGCTTCCCAGAGGCGCCGCCGCCGCCGCCGACGCCGACGCCGCCGCCGCCGCCGACGCCGACGCCGACGCCGACGCCGACGACGACGAGAACGAGGACAACCGCGACGACGACGACGACCCGGCCCGGGGGTGTAGCCCATGGGGAGGACCGGCTTGGCCCAGGGGCGGGGGGAAGCGTCGCCCCCCCCCCCTCCCCCCAAAATGGCCCCTTTGTCGCCGATCGGGCCCCCCAGGGGGAGGACTGGCCCGGCCCAGGCGGGGAGGGGAGGAAGGAGAGCGCGCGCGGTTTTTGTTTGTTAAGGGGGGGATTTCAGGAGGGCCCATCGCCCATCTCTCTCGGAGGTGCGTCGCCGACGCCAAGTCGGCCCCCCCCCCTCCTCCGAGCCACTCCCCCTCCCCCTCCCCGCGCACCCCCCCGCGGGGAAGCTTGATCCTATCGTGCAGCTGTGCCCCGGAGCTCCTGCGCTGCCGCCCCTTCCCTTGCGTGGATGCGCCCCGCTCGCGCCCCGCTCGGAGGCTCCCGCCGCGCCGCGCCATCGCCGGCGTTGCGGCGGGGCATTGCTCTGGAGGAGGAGGAGGAGGAGGAGGAGGAGGAGGAGGAGGAGGAGGAGGAGAAGGAGGAGTAGGAGGAGGAGGAGGAGGAGGAGGAAGAGGAGGAGCAGGAGGAGGAAGAGGAGCAGGATGAGGGGGAGGGAAGCGAGGGGGGGAGTTTCGGCTTCTGTTCGCCGTCGCTTCCCCTCCCCCCAACCCTCGGGCCCCACCTCGCCCCCGCTTTGACCTCCTCCCCGTCGCTGCTCTCCCCCCCCCGGCCTGCAAAGGGCTCCGAGTTGCCCCAGAGGCCTCGGAGTCAAGCCCGTGAGTCACCGCCCACACAACCACCCCAACCCAACCCGAAGGCCCGATTTGCCCTCCATTTCTAGTGGGGGGGCGTTGCGGAACATTGAAAAAGCACGTGTGGAACCCGCACCCCCCCTGCAACCCGAATTTCGGGTCTCCGGGTCAGGTTGGGGTGGTCTGGTAGGTAGTCAGTGAGGCCCTTGGCTCGGCTCCAAGAGGGCGCTGTCAAAGTCCTCGGACAGCCCCCTGCAAGGTGAGCATCTACAGCATCGTTTCGGTGTCTGTACTCTCTCGGCTTCCATTTTGGATTTCGTGAGGGTCCGAGAAGGCGCCAGCGCGCTTCCTGGGCCCTCCCAACCGGCCCCAAGCAGGCCCACAGGAGCGTCATCCTAGCCCTGCGAGATCACAATGTGGCCCCCGCGAAGCCCCAGGATGACCCTAAGGGCCCAAGGGACTCGCCCTCCTCACCTCCTCCTGTCCCTCCCCACTTGCTATTGCAAGAGTCAGGGCACGCGGGCCGCAAAGTTTGAATTGAACCTCAAATCCTCTGCTCTGACGTCAAGCCACCTCAAGTTTAGAGTCTGCGTCAGTCGTTGCTGTATTCACACACGGTGATGTTATCAGTCTCATCGCTGACATTGCTGACTGAAGATCACTCGCGCAGGACATAACACAGTACACTTTCATCGGAGACAGCATTTGGAATAAGTGGGTCCGACGAGAGAGCATTTGCACATCGCCATCACAGGGTCGCTACAGTGTCAAGTTAATTGTTGAGCAAGGGCATCGCGCCAGCAGGCCACTCCACTGTTTCATGTGCTCCCCACAGGATCAGCCAGGACTCGCTCGTGGTGTCCATCTGTGCTGGCGTAGCGTCCAGCCAATTCCAGGATCTGCTGCGCAGAAGACTCGCTTCATGCGTCGACGTATCCATGCGAGCGATGGACGTATTTCAGAAACCAGGAGGGTATTTGGATGGCAAGATCGGCTAAACCAGGCAGGCGAGCAAACGGCCATTCGAGAGTACGCAGAGGAGCAAGACAATCAAGGTGCAGCAGCAGGTGTTGCGAACTCGAGGGGGAAGTGGAGGCCAAGCAACAGTCAAGGAGGACAGCATGATCCACTTGCTCCTCACTGATCCTCTTCTTTTTCCCGGGCGCGGGGGACGGGGGCCGTGCGCGCAAAACGAAGCAAAAACAGTTAATCGATCAGGTCGGTGCTTCTGAGGCCTGGTGACTCAACTGATCCGAAGTCGTGGCTGTCCAATTGCTGATCTGCCCCAGGTACATACATACATTGCGCATACATGTACATGACTACATACATAAACAATGTGTGTTCTGATGGTGGTAGCCAGGACTGATACGAGCCAAGCCACTGAGTTTCCGAAGCTTCATCTTGGCATGGGTATGGTCCCCGCAGTGGGGAGGAACCAATGAGATGCAAAGGCATTCATGCACTCGGTGTTGTGTCGGAGCTTGTTCCCGCAGCCATGGTCATGGTCGCCCCGCCTTCGCCTCCTAATCCTCTATTTCTTCATCGTGCCGCCCTCTGATTCCTGCTGCCCCTCCATCCTTCCTCTTCTGATACCGTCTGCGGCGCACCTCGAGAGCGAATGGAGGACGACGTGAAGGCTCGGCTCGGCCTGCAAACAGTGGAGCGGCACAGTCAGTCTCAGCACATGGCCGACGCCGCCATTGTGCGCAAGCCACCCCCAAAGTATCAAGTGGTCCTTCGGCCCATCCCGCAACCGTGCCTGGGTTGTAGGTCGTAGGCCTCTAGGATGTTCGTTGTGATGTCGCGGGAGGCCTCTCGGTGGCTTTTTGTTGGGGGCCGTCTTGGGGCATTTCGGGTGCTGTTCTGGGGCTTCTTGGGGCGTCGTCAGAGCCTCTGAGGAGTACCGTGCGGCCTCTTGGGGCCCTCTTGGGGCCCTCTTGGGGCCTCCTTGGGGCCTCCTGGGGGCCTCTCGGGGCAGAAGTCTCGGATGTTCGGTTCGTGGTGTTTCCCCCCCCTCTTGGGCCCTTCCTGCGGCAGGTATGTGGGCCTTCTCGAGCTGCATCGGACGCCTCCAGTGCCGTGCTGGAGCCCTCTTGGGTTGTGTTGGGGCCCTTCTGGGCACCTCATGGGCCGCCTTGGGGCGGTCCCGGGACTCCTGGGCCGTCTTGCAGCGCCGGGAGCTCGAAGCGTCGAGGACCCCCAAGTCATTGAGCAGCTTATGGAACGCCCATGATTTCAGCCTCTCGGGGCCCTCCTGGAAAGGCTCTCGGGGCTCTCTTGAGGCGTCTTGGGGGCCTCTGGGGCCGTCTTCGGGCCATCTGGGGCGTCTGGGTGCGCTCGTTCGGCGACTCGGGGCCCTCTTGGACCGTCTTGGGGCCCTCTTGGGGCCCTCTTGGCCCGTCCTGGGCCCCTCGTAGGCCCGAGTAAGTCACGCGAGAAGACGCGAGAAGCCCCAGGGAGCACGCGGGAAACCCAAGAATATGTGACATGATTTGGCAATGTGGGCTCTGGGCCCCGCAATGACTCTTCAGGAGTGCTTGCGGGATTCGGCAAAGGACATGAAGACACGCCCACTCCGTGCCCGGCGGCGCAGTGGAGCAGGCTTGGCGCGGCTTGCAAGCAGTGGAGCGGCACAGCCAGTCTCAGCACATGGCCGACGCCATTTTGCGCCAGCCGCCCATACTTTACCACGGTCCGGGACGGTGGCTTAGCGTGGCGCCCCGCCAGTTCTGGCGACCCCACGCGTCGTCGGCGCGACACGCTAAACTCAGGAGGGAACAAACACACAGACACAATTGAGTGTCGACTCCCAGGAAGATATGGGAAACTATAGGAAGTGGGGGGAAGACAGAAACCAAGAGAACATGTGGGAAATCCTGTTATTCGTGCTTATTTATTTGTGTGTCCCTCCCCTCCCCCCTCCTCTCCTCCCCCCTCCCTCCCTCCCTCCCCCCTCCTCTCCTCCCTCCTCCCTCCTCCCTCCTCCTTCCTCCCTCCTCCCTCCCCCCTCCTCTCCTCCTCCTCCTCCTTCTCCTCCTCCTCCTCCTTTTCCACGCGTCAACGTCCCCAGCCTTCCCCGGCCTTACCCGCCCCGCGAAGAGCGGAGCGACGCGCGATTTCCGCCTGCCCGGCACACAGCGTGCCGCAGGGGCCGCCGCCGCGACACGCCACGCAAAGGTGCCCGACCGAACAGCTCCCCGTGAAGCCCGCCGTCGGTTCCCTAGGCGTTCCCTAGGCGTTCCCTAGGGATCTGCAAGGGATCCACTCGGTTCCCTAGGCGTTCCCTGGGCGTTCCCTATGGATCTGCCAGGGGTCCACTCGGTTCCCTAGGCCTTCCCTAAGCGTTCCCTATGGATCTGCCAGGGATCGACTCGGTTCGCTCGGCCGCGCCCGAAGCGCGCCACCTGGGCTCGTGGCGGTCGCCGCGCGGCGCTTGGCCACGAGCCACGAGCCTGAAGCCCATGCCCAGGGCCAGAGGCCGGCGGCACCCTTCGCAGGCCTGCAAGCACCGTCGCGTGTGAACGCGCGCGCGCGCGCGGAAGAAAGGAAAGCACGCGCGCGCGACAACAAACTCATTGTGCGAGCAGTGCGTGCACAACGGGAGCTGGACGGGCAGATCCAGGCGGGAGAATGGAGAAGCCCCCCAAGGGTATGGGAGCGCAAAACACAGCCGGCACGGCTTCCATGCCTCAGGTTCTGAAACGGACATCGTTCTTCCTCTGCGCCTTGCCTGCGAACTCCTGAGTCTTTCTGCCACTGCGTGTGCTGCTCCTCCCCCGTCGCGCGCGGCCGCTTCAGGCTCAACCCTCGGTCTCGAGGGGCCCCTCTCGCAGCAGGGCCCGCCTCCGTCATGACGGGCCCTTCTTGCAGAGCCGCCAGCAGGCGGCATCCGATGCAATTCGCCGGCCCAACGGGCCAGAGGCGTGCTAAGATCTCCGGTAACTTGTTAACAATATTCCTAGTTCGCGCGCGCGGAGCGGCCCCTGGGGGCCCCCGGACGAAAAGTACGCCGGCAAGGTCCCGAGAGAAGCCCGGGAGAAGCCACCAGACCACTCCAGGGGAGGGTATTTTTCGACACCCCTCACGAGGATCGTGGCCTCCGAGGGGGGAACCGCAATCGACTACCCCCAAGAGCCCCCCAAGAGGCCCTGGGGGCCTCCAAAACGCCGCCAAGGAGCCCCAAGAGACTCCCAAGAGGTCCCCAAGAGGCCCCCAAGAGGCCCTAAAGAGGGCTCCAGGGCCGGCGGCATGAGCGAAGCGATTAAATGATTCAGCACGCATGTCCACATACACATCATCAGCACAGCATCCCCAGCGAGAATACGTCTGCGGGCAAGCGCCCGGCCGTCTGCCCTCCGCCGGGAGGCCACGCTGCGGGGGAGAGAAAACCGTCGGCCTCACGGCCCGCGGCCCCGCCCCGCCCGCGGCGAACAGAAGTTCATGCGCAGATGCGGTATGGCGGGCTGATACACGTGCCTTACTCCTGTTCCTCCACTTCGTAATCCCCCCTCTCCCAGGGCGCCCTGTATGGCGCGAAGTTGTTCGCGCTTCGCGGTTCGGCTCCGATTCCCCCTCATCCTCTTCTTCTCCCCTGGGGGCCGGCGCGAGAGCGCGAAGCTATTCGCCCTTCGTGCAGCGCGACGCGCGAAGTTAGGCGCCCTTGCTCTCCTGTTCTCAGGAGGGCCTGGACCACAACCGCGTCGTTCGCACCATGCCCAACACGCCAGCCATGGTGCAGGGCGGGATGACCGTCTGGTATGCGATGCCTGGGGTGTCAGAGGAGGGGATTGGGACACGCGTGTTTCGGCTTGTGTGTCTCATCCTCCATTTTTGTCTCCTCCCCCTGTCGCGCGTGCTGTTTTCTGTTGTGCTACCGCGTGTTCAGGAACGGCGCGCGCCTGCCTTCCATCCACATCACGATTCCAACGCGTGTCTCGCATGCATGTCTGCTTCGCCCCGTCTGGTCGACACGCGGCTGCAGGCATGTCAAAGTAATGGGCTGTCGGCACCACCGCGCGGCAAGTGCGTGCCGCCAGGACGCGGCGGCGACGCCTGCGTTGGCGCTCAGTGCTGAGCACCCTCTGGAGGCTCGCTGTGGGCCTCAGGACTCACCACAGACAACAAGCCACGTCGAGGTGCTTACCAGAGATGGGTCGACAGAGCAGGGGGGGCATCCCAGCGGAGGCCGTTCAACGGTCTCCCTGTCGAAGACACCTACTTCGAGTCCCCGCCGTCCCCTGCCTTGCTGGAAAAGGCCTGTGTGGTGAAGTGTCGAACGAACGTGCGGCCATGCTGGTGGAATGCGCGTCCCGCAAGCAGTTGGGGACACCATTCCGCTGGGGGGACCCGGTGTAGGGGCGAGATAGGATCAGGATCATCTCGGGGTTCTCTTTCGGCGGCGAGCGAGCGGGGGAAGCGAAAAGGAGGAGGCCTTCACAGAAGGCTCGGAAGCCCCTGGCCCTCTGAGAAGCTTTCTGGGCCGTCCCCGAAGACACAAAGAAGACCTTCTCAGATGGCGCGGGGGCTTCCCAGAAGTCCCGCCCGCCTTCTGAGAAAGCCTCCTCCTTCTCACTTCCCCCCTCTCCTTCGCCGCCGGCTCTTAGTGTGCATTTGGGCGTCTCCTGGGGGCCACTTGGAGGAGGAGGAGGAGGAGGAGGAGGAGGAGGAAGATAAGGAGGAGGAGGAGGATGAGGAGGAGGATGAGGAGAAGGAGGAGGATAAGGAGGAGGAGGATGAGGAGGAGGAGGAGGAGGAGGGTCACCTTGGGGCTCTCTCCTGGGCCGTCTCGAGGCGCTCGGGCCGTCCTGGGCGTTCGACTGCAGTCTGGAGGGCCTCTCTGGACCGCCTCGGGGACCCCGTGGGATGCTCTACAGTGGAAGCCCATGCCAGGGAACGCCCTGCTTGCCTCCAGGGTGCCATGGGTTTCTCGGCTTTCGATGGTTTTGCTATGGAGCGTTACGTTCCCCACCGGAAATCCATGAGCGGCCTGGGGTCTCAGGGTTGGGTTGCGTGTGGACAGTTTCTTGTGGTCGAGCTCCTACTGTAGGGCCGTCCTTGAACTCTCTTGGGCAGTCATGGGGCCTCCATTGGGCCATCTTGGGGTCGTTTTGGGGCCATCTTTGGGCCATCTTGGGGTGTCTTGGGGCTCTCTGGGTGCCTCGTGGAGGCCAGCTTGGGCCATCTTAGAACAATGTTTGGGTAGTCTTGGAGGCATGTTGAGGCCGTCTTGGAGGCGTCATGGGACTATCTTTTGGGCCGCCTTGGCCAGCTTGGAGGCATTATGTGATTGGTCTTCCGGTTCTTCTGGGTGGCCGGGGGGGGGGCGCCGAAGGCCATTGGTATCTTGTGGGCCTAATAGAAAACTCCGCGGACGACTTGTTATATGCACTGCACCGCGTCGGCATCTCCCGAGGCGTGGCCGATCCTCGACCTGGGAGTGGTGCCGTGCATCGTTTTTTTTCGGCCCTCGGAGAGCTGAAGAACTGTGCACCGTACTGTGCTGGAATGGGGCCTCGAGCGAGTCCAAGCATGACGCGGTGCATGGGTGCCCACTCACTCACTCACCCACAAGCCATACGCCGCCGGGCGCGTGGGCAGGAACACAGTTTTCAGGCAGTGAAGCGGAATGGAGCGTGAAACGCTGCGCCAGCTTAGTGGATCAAGAGGAGGAGGAGGAGGAGGAGGAGGAGGAGGAGGAGGAGGAGGAGGAGGATGAGGAGGAGGAGGTGGAGGAGGAGGAGGGGGTGCATGTGTGGCGTTCTCGTGAAAAAAGAAGATCTGGCACGTGAGGCATCCCGTTGGCAGGGCAGGCCCTCGGGGCGGGGGCCCTGGGGGGCCCGGAGGCGGCCTCGGGGCTCCTCGTGGGGCCGAGGAATTACAGAAGTCAGGTCGTTTTGGACGCCCGCAATGGGCACGGAAAGAAGGGGTAAGATGCCCCACAACAAGTGTTGTCCCAAACCGACAGCGGCCGCTGTTGGGCAGGCGGCATTCTGTCTCGAACGGACACAGGCCGCAGCGGCGTGGACAGCGAATCCTCTCCAAGAGGAACAAGAACTGCTGTTGGGCATGGTACCCATTCTTTCCGTGCCCATTTCGGGCGTCCAAAGTCGTGCTCCCCCCCTCGGGGGCCGACTCGGGGGCCTCTCGGGTTCAGTCCGGCGTGTCGTTTCCACAGGCGGAATAGTCGAGAATTGTTGAACATACGACCCTCGTCAAGATCAACCTCAACAGTTGCTGGCACGTCATTTCGATTTCGGCGCGCCCCTCAATGTCGAGACGCCGCCCCTTCAATGTCGGGGCGAGGGCAAAGATAGTCTGACTGAAGTTGACTCGAAAGTTTGACGTCGACCGGCATTGGAGGGGCGGCGCATGCAAGTACCCCGCACTCATCGATACTCGGCCCCAGATCTTCCGACAAGCAGTTCAACCACGTCAGACATTTGTGAGGTTAATTTTGACGAGGGTTGTAGTAAGGTCACGTTTTGTCTACGATCTCCCACAATGTTTGATTATGTTTTGGTCACTTTGCCTTTTTCTTCTAGAGTCCGCCTGTGGGAGGACATGCCCAATCTAATTCTCGGGCCCCTCTTGAGGGCATGGGGGGTCGTCCTTCCATTCTCCAAAGAAGAAGAAACGACATACACATAAACTTTTGGCGCTCCGCGCGGATTTCTTGGACCCGCGCTGGGCTCCTTTGGCAGCGCCTCCGACGCCGCCCCTGGCGCGCTCCGCGCGCCAGGGAGGGGGGGGGGTCTAGCGCAGATCCAAGAGATCCGCACGGAGCGCCAAGAGTTTATGGTTATGCCGTTTTCTCTTCTCCAATTTTTATTTTATCGGGGGCCTATCGGGCCGTCTGGGAAGCCGAAAAATAGAGAATGATCCAATCGTGCAGTGACGTACGCTTTTTCACTGCATTCGGCCTCTTGGTCTGGCCCCCTGGGGCCTCGAAGACGGCCCGAGATACCACAGAATGGGAGCATGAGGGGGAGGAGGAAGGGGGTACTGAGAGGTGGGGGAGGGAGGTACTGAGAGAGGGGAGAGGTGATTGGTATTTCGTTTCTGTACGTTTTTATCCCCACTTAGTACTGCCGCGGACTGGGTTGCTCTCGCCCTGTCGGGCCACTATCCTTGGCTCTGCTCTGTGCCTGACCTTCGCTGCACCCGTCCGCGGGCACCATTTGTTCGCTCACTCCGCCTAAGTCGGCGCCGCTTTTGTTGCTTATTATGGAGCGCAACAAGTGCAGTCTTCATGTCTGGCCGACGTGAAAAGGGGGAGTACTGAAGGAGGGGGAGCCAGGGAGGGGGCGACAGGGAACCGGGAAGGGGGCTCGCCGCCTGGCGCTCTCCTCGACCCGGAGGTTACACCCCGGGCCAGTCTGGAGCCTCCCGGGTCGTCCCGGATGCGTCCGAAGACAGCCGGTGCCGCCTCTGAGGCTACATTAGGCCACCTTAAGGGCGCGATCGTGGCCGCAAACGCTATTGGAGGGTGGGGTCCCCAGGGCTGTCGGCTGGGCGGGCCCGCGTGTTTTCTGGAGGGGCACGGTTTGCTCCAGAAGGGTCGGCACGCCATGCACCCCTGCGAACGACATGGGGGCCGGATCGAAGACGCCTACGGGAAGTCACTGCCGGCCCCTGTCCTTTGGAAACGCCCATGCGGACAAACGTGGGCCGAGGCCAAGCTATTTGACTATTTGTTGCTCCAGCCGTTGTGGAACCCCATGGGGAACACTTGGGACAGGACGAGAAAGGAGGAGAAGAGGGATGATAATGACGACGAGAAGGAAGAGGAGGAAGAATAGGAGGCATCCTGATGCCCTCGTGGGGCCTCCTGGGGGCTTCCTGGGAGCACCTTGGGGGCCTTCTGGGGCCTCTTGGGGGCCTTCTGAGGCCTATTGGGGGCTTCCTGGGGCCTCTGGGGGGCCTCTGGGGGATATCTGGAAGCGCCTCTTGGCCTTCGGAGGCCGTCTTGGGGCCCTTTCTGGGCAGTCATGGGTCCCTCTTTTGGCGCTTTAGGGTTGTCTTGAAGGTCTACGGGGCCGTCTTGGGGGGCTCTTGGGCCGTCTTCGGGTGCTCTTGGGCCGTGTTGCGGGCCTCTTGCGGGCCTCTTGCGGACCTCTGGGGCCGTCTTGGGGCAATCCTTGGGGCTTGTGGGGCCGACTTGGAGCGTCGGGAGCCCGAAAAGACGAGAACGCTAAAATCAGTGAAACACGTGAGGGACATTAGATCTTGGCCTCCTGGAGCCCTTCTTGGATTGGGCCATCTGAAGGACATCTTGAGCAGTCTTGAGGCCATCGTGGGCCATCTCTGGGGCACCGTGGGCCGTCTTGGGAACATCTTGGGGCCATCTTGGGCTCCCTTGTGAGCCAGGAGGCCATCTCGGGTGTTCGCCGTCTTAGAGGTGGGCATTGTTTAGATGATTGGTTGGTTTAGATATGGTTGCGCGTCAGCTCGAGACCTCATTGGGAAGCTTGCGTTGGAAGGGTCAAACAAAGAGACTGACATGTGTCACGCCGTGCACCCCCTGTGGCAAGCAGCAGCGGGCGCACCGAATCTGGTGCCCTCTGGGCGGGCTTCTGTGGGTCTCTGGGGGGCTGTTGTGGTCGTGTTTGGTATGAGCGCACCCTTTAAGAATGAACTTCTTGAACAAATGGTTGCCAGCGTGGGCTCCAAACATGATCTATGTGGTGCAATCTCTGTGGTGCAACCTGTGGTGCACACGAGGGCAGCAGCCACAGGGAACGACCCACAGGCCACCAGGGCGGAAACCAGGAATGGTAACACATGTTTTATCGTCGGACATCTGCTGTAGTGAACAACCCGTAAGGCACCGAGGCGGGATTCAGAAAGTGTAACCCCACGGGTCACCAGGCACGAGCGACAAACCGTTCGAATTGAGGCCCGCCCATGGTGCCATAGAGCACCAGATCAAGGATGACACATCGCAGCGACTGTTGCTTCATAGATCATCAGCCACAGGGCGCCATACATAAAAGCGCCTGGGCGGGAACGACAAATCGCAATCAGTACAGGCATCATAGAGCATCAGCCATAGGGCACAAGCCACAGTGCACCAATACGGAAAACACTGCGACAATTCATGCACCATGGGGCATTTGCCAAATGGCGCCACTCATTGAGCACCATGGCTTAATGCGACATCAGCCATGGGGCACCACCTGTAGTAGAGCAGCACCTGGGCAATAACAACGAACCGCAGCAACACAGGTTATGCAGAGCACCAGCCATAGCGCACCACCCATGGTGCACCACCCCCAGCGCATCATGGCAAGAGCGAGTAGACGTAGCAAGTGAGGCATCATGAAACACAGCACGTAGGGCACCACCCATAGAGCAGAAGGCGCAAAACAAGAAGTCGCATCAACTGAGGCTTCATAGAGCTTTTCGCCAGGGAACTTGGCCAGGGATTGAAATATAGAGAGGTTGCAGTGGTTTCGTTGCTGTCGTCGCGGAGTGAAGCATTCAAATATTCAAAGGTTGACAGGTTCTGTGGTTTGTGTGTGTCCCGGGGCCAAAATTGAACGTTGGAAGCATACTTTAACTTGGGGGTCCCTGAATGAAATATTGAAAGATATTTCAATCCGGACGGTCCAGATTGAACGATTGAAGGATTAAAGGGTAGTTCTATTGTGAGGTGGATTGAAATGACTTAAAGATCTCCCGATCAGGAGATCCTGGATTGGAATTGCAACATGCTTAATATTCGTAAGATGTTGTGTGTTGTTATCCATACAAGAGTACGCAAGATCCTCTCAGCAGGGCCCTCGTCCCTTAGGACAGGGTGGCGGACTCAACTGACGAAGACCAATGGCAGACGTTTTCTTCAGTCGTTCAATCCGGGCCCTCCTGATATGAAGATATTCCAACCATTCAATTTTTCCATCCAGACCTTCTGGATTGAAAGATTTATCAAGTTGTTAATATTTCAATGCAGATCCCCCATATTGACGAATCTCTCAATTTTTCAATCGTGCCATCCTGAATGAAAGATATTGCACCTTGGATTAAAGGAGTTCCAAACCGAGCGGGCCCCGCTCGGAAAGAGTAACCCATCGGGGACCACCCCTAGGGCACCTGGATGAGAAGGACACATCGCGACAGCACGCAGAGCATCAGCCACAGGGCACCCAGTCGAGAACGACAAGCGAGGCATCATAGGGCACCAGCCGCAGGTTACACCCATAGCATCAGCGCGAGAGCGACAGACAGCGACCACGGAGCCATGATGGAGAGCACCAGCCACGGAGCGCAATCCACAGAGCACCAGGGCGAGAACGGGCAAGCGCGACACCCATAGGGGCATCCTCGCGCACCAGGCAGGGGCGCCACCCATGGAGCACCGGGGCAGGAACGAAAACGCTGCGACAGCCGAGGAATCACGGCGCGCCAGTCGCAGGACCCCCCCCCCCCTTTTGGGACACAAAAGGGCGGACATCAGAGCTCGCAACGATGGTGTTCCTGTTGCCTCTCCTAGATCCAGACAGGCAGGGGCCCCTCCAAGCAGGCACTGCTGGCTGGTTCAGGCGAGCCTTCGGCTCCTCGTTGGTGCCTGGGGAGCGCGCGCGGCGCGCCCTCTGGAACGACCCCCGAGGGCCCCGGAGTGGGCTCCTCCTCCTCCTCCTCCTCCTCCTCCTCCTCCTCCTCCTCCTCCTCCTCCTCCTCCTCCTCCCCTCCTCCTCCTCCTCTCCTCCTCCTCCTCTCCTCTCCTCCTCCTCCTCCTCCTCCTCCTCCTCCTCCTCCTCCTCCTCCTCCTCCTCCTCCTCCCCGTGACAGCTCCAGCAATCGGGGGTCCGTTGCCGGGCGCCGCCGCGAGGGGAGCGCGGATGCGCGACATGGCCCTCAGCACCTCAGCCTTCTGTCTTGCAGCTGCCAGCGATGATTTCCGCCTCGCCGTCCTCCTCCCCATTGGGTGACCGCCATCCACTGTTCCTGTCCGTCCCATCCCTGCCCGCTCCTCCTCCTCACCCGCCTCCCCACGTTCCTCGTCGCAGTCCCTCTCGGACCGTCTCCTTGTCCTTGTTTGTTCGGTGGGCGGTCGGCAAGGCCCGCAATCCGGGATCTTGCTTGGGCGATTCATTTTGGAAACGTCATATGTTCGGCTGGGGGAGAAGAACTCAGCTTGCCGTCTGCCTGCTCCGCATGGCGCGCCTGCACCATATTTTGAATGTAGGTGCTCGGCCCTTCTCTTCCACTGCGCACATGTGGCTTCACCTCCATCCCGCATTTTGCAAAGTCGGTGCGGAGACGGCAGGGCCAACTTCTGGCGACCAAGCAGCTCCTTCAAAGCTTTGGCAAGGAAGAGCAAGTGACGCACGAGGATCCTTGCAGCAGTGAGCATGGGCGCCTGTTCTTGTGACAGTGCTTGGGATGTTTATGGGTCATGGAGGGATTTTGAGCTGGCACGCGTCTTGCCATCAGGTGCTAAGGCAGTGTTTCGTATGGGTGGTCTTACGTGCGCATGGAGTATGAATCAGCAGGTGGAACGCTGCAGGGGTAGGAGAGGATCAGAGGGATAGGGCGGACTAGGATAGTTCGAAGACAGCTGGATGCTCGGGCCCCGCCGAGGTCCCAAAAGACGAGCATTCATCGGGCGCAGCCCCATGGATTACAGAACTTGCCAGGGGGTGCGCCACCCATGGAGTGCATCTATGGGTTGGCGACGTCAGGATGGAGGAACTCGGGCTCCAGATCGCAAAATATCGCCGATGCATCTGCGACGCAGGAGCGTCCTCCGGACCCGTCTTCTGCGGCCTCATTTGAGCGGCCTGGAGACCTGTGGCACGACCATGGCATCAGCTTTAAGACCCCGCTGCTGAGCAACAAACGACTGCCTATTGGTTGCGCCTGCGATTGCGCCCTCGGTTGTCGAAGATACAAGTTGTTGCTATAGGTTGCGCCATGGGCTGCTCATTCGACGCATTCGGCGGGCGATATTATAATTGCTTGCTATTACCTGCGCCATGGGTTGCGCCCTCGGCGGTCGAAACGTAAGCGGTCTGCTTGGAACGGTATCGGTTGCGCATTGGGTTGCCGAGCATACTATTGCTTGCTCTAGGTTGCGAGATAGGTTGCGCACTCGCATGCCGAATGTGAAACTGCTTGCTATTAGTTGCGCCATGGCTTACGCATTCGGCAGCCGAAGATCAACTTTCCTGCCTTTGTTTGCGCCATGGGTTTACACTCGGCAGCCGAACATCACAGTGCAAGCTGTGATGGTCGTGCCATAGGTAGCGCTCCCCACGGCCGGTCATAGCATCGATTGTTGCCGGCTGCACTATCTATGGCTTTCTCGGCGACGGGACATGTCCTTTACTTGCTATTTGCTGCGCTACGGAATGCACTCTCGGATGCTAGACATGCATTGCCTTGTTATCCGTTGCGCCAGAAGTTTTGCACTCCACGGCCAGGCATACGACGTTGTGCTGTTAGTAGCGCCATGATTTGCGCACATGGGAGCCGACCATCAAACGGCCAACTAACAGATGCGACTAGTCCAGCTTGTCAGTTAATCAGTTGGGTTGCACCTTGCGAGAAGGATAGTCGGACAACGCCCGAAAGTAGGCGGACAGAGGATGATTGGAGCGAGGGTTTGGAACGAGGGGGAGAAGGAGAAACGCTTGCGATGTAATCTCATGGTTTCGGCCAGGGGCCACAAGATCTCAGTGTTGAGGTTGTGGCCATGATTCGCCTTCTTAGTGGTCCCGATGTTACCGACGCTGTGCGTGCCCCATACAACCCATCCAGAAACTATTCCCAGGCGATGTTGTCGCGCGAAGGGCAGTTGGGATCATCAATTGTTAGTCAGCGCGAAACCCAAACAGTGACTTCTAGCAATATATATATATATATATATATATATACATATATATATATATATATATATATATTGTAACCTTTGTGGCGCCGTCTGTGTGTTGCAATGTAGGTTGTGCAATATCTGGTGTACAATCTACGTGGTAGAATGTACGTGGCGCAGAATAGGCTGTGCAGTCTACTTGGTGCCGTACCGGTGATACAATTTATGCGGCGCAAAATATATTGTGTGCGACCGATTCAGCGCACACCACGTGATGCAGCCTATGCGGTGCAATATGTGTTGTGAAATCTAGGTGGTGCAATCCAGGCAGTGCAATCCATGAGGTACACTTTGTTGCAATCTAGGGCGGCGGCAGGGCGGCGACGACGCGGCGACGGCTACCACAGAGCCGCCAGCCCGCCACGCAGGCCCAGACGACTGGCGGCGACAAGGCGGCGACGGGGTGGCGACGGCGACCACGGAGCCGCCAGACCGCCACGCAGGCCCAGACGACTGGCGGCGACGAGGCGGCGACGGGGCGGCGACGGCGACCACGGAGCCGCCAGACCACCATGCCGGCCGAGTTCTGTAAACGACAAGTAAAAACACCTGAGCGCCAGCACTGCTCTGGGAAAGAAAAAGATGGCAACCAGCAACTCAGAAACGCAAAGAAACAGCCGAACCGAAGCTGGTTTCAGCCAGAGCAGTCTTCAACGCTGACCAACATGGGGTCCCTGGGACCTTCCAAAGTCCTCGTAGAGTCATCTTGGGGCTATTTTGAAGGCCTTCTTCGGAGCCGTTGGAGCCTCTTGAGGCTATTTAGGGGCGTGTGGTGCAATCTATGTATTGCAATGTAGTCCATGTTATGCAATAGATGTTGTGCAATATATGTAGTGGAATCCATGAGGTTCAATGCATGTGTTGCAACCTAGGTTGTGCAAGCTATGTTGTGCCATCGATGTGGTGCAACCGAACGGCGGCGACGGCGGCGACGGAGCGGCGACGGCGACAACGTAGCTGCCAGAGCGACAGACAGGCCCAGACGACGGGCGGCGACGAGGCGGAAACGGTGCGGCGACGGCGGCCACATAGCCGCTGGAGCGGCAGACAGGTCCAGACGACGGGCGGCGACGAGGCGGCGACGGGGCGGCGAAGGCGGCCATATAGCCGCCAGAGCGGCAGACAGGCCCAGTTCCTTGGAAGAGAAGCGAGAACCCCTAAGTGCAAGCACTGTTTTGGAAATTATCCTAAACCATCTTGCATGTGGTCTGGGCAGTCTTTGGCTGTGTGGGTTGATACCGGAGTGTGCCGCCATACGCATCGAGGAGATGGCCGACCTAGCGCATTCGGCGCGTTTGGCGCGTCTGGCACACCTGGTGCGCCTGCCGCCGCTTGCACACGCGGCGTACCTGGCGCACTTGGACGACTGGGCGCGGTGGACTTCTCCGGCGCTCCTGGCGCACCTGGCGCACGTGCAGCGCCTGGCGAGTGTGGCGCACCTGGCGGGCTGCGCGAATCAGGCTCTGCACCTGGAGTCTTGGCGCAGCCATCACACTTGGCGCTCCATGTTGTGTTGTCCACAGTTGTTACTCAAGAAGCTCACGCCATCCTGCCGATCCCCAGAAGAGGAGATGTGCGGGTTCCTAGCTCGTAAGTGTTGCCTGCGTTTAGTTGTCGCTGGTTCGTCATTATCTTCCTTCGCGTCTGTTGGGGGGTCTCTTGAATGCCCAGGGGGCGGCCTCTTGGGAGCCCTTTCAGAGCTCCTCGGGGCTTTGGGGCTCCCTCTGGGAGCTCCTTAGGGGCCTCTTGGTGGCCTCGTGGGGGCATGCAGGACGTCCCGGGGCCGTCTTGTGGGGAGGGCTTCCGTTGCCTTCACGAATTCCCCCTCTAGGGTGTCATTTGCCCTTGTTGGGACACTCGTCAAAGCCTATTTGGCCGTCTTGGGGGCTTCTTGGGCAGTCTTGGAGCCCTCTTTGTCCATCGCCAGGCTTTCTCGGTGGCCTGTTCAACCGTCCTGGGCCAGTCTGAGGGGCTTGTGGGGCCGCTTCGGGCTTTCATGGGTCCCTGAGATAGGTCCGTCAAGTTTTGGCCGCGTCGCCGCCTCGCTGCCGCCCACGCAGGGGGGTCCGTCGAGGTCTCGCCGCGTCGTCGCCCTTTGGCACCTCGTTGCCGCATAGTTTTCACCGCATTGCAAAGCTTACACTGCATAGCTTGCACCACGTGGATTGCATCACATAGCTTACGTATCCGCAGTGCAATAACTTACGGCTTGGTATCCACGCTGGTTAGCACGATGTCTTGTTCCAAAACAGCGCATATGACAGTGAAGTTTGCTTCTTGATACCATCCAATTAGGTCCTCTTGGGCCCTCTTTGGGCGTCGTCGGGGCATCTTGGGCCGTCCTGCTGCCAGCGCGGACGTTCTGGAGGTATCTCCAGCATCTTGCAGGCTGCGGGTGGCGGACTCGGAGGCCCGAGGGCCCAGGAAGCTTGCCGGTGCGCTCGGCGGCGTCCACCCCCAGATTTAGTAACCCGGGGGATGGGGAAATGAACAGTTCCAGACATTCCGAGTGAGGTCCGAGTAGAAAGTCGGTGGGTCGCGCCGCATCGCCGATGCATCGCCGTCGCGGCTCGATGTGGAGCCACATGTCCTTCACGTCGGCGTCGCCGATGCATCGCCGATGCACCGCCGACGTCGACAAAAAGCATCGCCGATGCATCGGCGATGCATCGCCGATGCGGCGGGATCATCCGACCCCATTTACTCCGACCCCATCTGGGAGGCTTTTCGGAGTTGGAAAGTCGAATCTCCCATACGCCTTTTCACTCCTAGCTAGCCGGGGCCGGTGGATTTGTGGATTCGGGGGGGCGGGTCGGAGTCATCGACACAGCTTGTGGCCTTTCTTGGGCGGGCTTCCCCAGCCCGACCCGCTTCTTTCATGACGTGCCTCGTACTCTCACATTTTCTCTGGCAATTGCCCGGGTCCGACTTGCCTGCTGCTGCTTGTGATCACCACTCACCAAACCACCCCAACCCAACTCGAAGGCTTGAATTTGCGCTCCATTTCCGGTTGGGGGGGGGTCGGGGAACATTGAAAAAACACATGGAGCCCGTACCCCCCCCAACCCGAAATTCGGGTCAAATTCTGGTCTTCGGGTTGGGTTGGGGTGGTCTGGTAGGTAGTCATGTGATGGGGCGTCCAAGAGGATTATCTCGACATGGCCACGGCGCTCAGCGGCTCCGGGCCTGCATATTTCTTCTTGCTTATGGAGTGCCTCGTGGAGGGGGCGGTTGCCTGGGATTCTTGAGAGGATGAGGTTGCTCAGCGATCATGGCCAGATCGACCGCTCCCGCACGGCTTGATTGAGCCTCGCGTAACCATAGAATCTGGGGGTGCAGGCAGGACGTTGAGGGTGTAGTGTAGCGCTAAGGGGTGGTACTGCCAGGAACTTTGGCTTAGCGTGTCGCTCCGCCAGTTCTGGCCCACCACGCTTCGGCGCGACACGCTATCCGCGTTCCCACTTCCAAGCGTGAATGTCCCGAGCTGTTCCCGGCCGCCCGCCACGTGGCCTTATGTTGGTTCCCAGAATCACAAATTTACAATTTTTTTCTCACGCGGTTTCGGGGGTCACACGTGTCACCCGCTGCCTCTTGTGAAGTTGAACGGCCTTATGTTGACCCCCAGAATCCCAGAGTTACAATTGTTTTTTTCTCGTACGGTTTAGGGGGTTACACGTGTCACCGGTTGTTTTTGAGGATGAATGGCGTATTGTAGGTCCCCAGATCCCCAAATGTACAAATTGTGCTTCTCACACGGTTTCGGGGGTGACGCGTGTCACCCGTTGTTTTGGTGCGAAGTTGAATGGCTTTGTGTTGGCCCCCAAGATGCAAAAACATCAAATCTCTCACGGTTTCGGGGGGGACGCGTGTCACCCGTTGTTTGAGGTTGGATTGTGTTTTGTTGTCTCCCTGATCGCCAAATTTACAGATGGCTTTTCTCACACTGTTTCGGAATGTGTCACCCCGTTTTTTTTCGTGAGGTTGAACGGCCTTATGTTGGCTCCCAGGTTCCCGAATTCACAATTGGTTATTCTCATGCGGTTTCGGGGATGACACGTGTCGCCCGCTGTTTATTGTGATGTTGAACAGCCCTATGTCAGCTCCAGAATCCCAAATTTAGAATTAGTTTTTCTCACGCGCTTTTTGGGGTGACGCGTGTCACCCGTTGTTTCTTGTGAAATTGAATGGCCTCATGTCAACTCCCAATTTTCCAAATTGTCATGCGGTTTTCCGACGATTTCGGCGATGACGCGTGTCACCTGTTGTTCTTGTGAGGCTGAATGGCGTATTGTTGGCCCCCAGAATCCAAAATTTACAATTTGTGTTTCTCACGCGGTTTCGGGGGTAACACGTGTCACCCGTTGTTCTTTGTGAGGATGAATGGCCTTATGTTGGTTGGCTTCCAGAATCCCAAGGGCGTGGCCGGCGTGGCCTGACGCCATGTGGGGGTGCGCAGGATTCCGCTTGCACGCCGAGTGCCAGGGCGGTCGCGGGGGCGTCCCCGGCGGCCCAGTTTGCCCCGCGATCCTTTTGTCTTCCACTTGCGCACTACAGCGTTGGGAATAGCTATTTAAAAAACTGCCCCCCATATTGTTTTGCTTCACCGCGTTAAGACAGTATTATGAGCCTTTTACTGGAGAGTTTAGCTGCTGTCATGATGTAATGCGTCCCCTTGGCACGTATACTTGGGCGTTTAGGGCGGAGTATGAATTCGCGCTGTATGACGGGCGTATGTCCAATGGGAGTCGCCCAAGCAAACCATGCGGATGACTTGCCAATCCAATGCTGATATCCGCAGGCATCTCGATCGCGTTGGTAGTCATACCATTCCCGCATAGTTGCATCATGTGTGTAATTCATGTCGGCGGCACTCGCGCAGCAAGGGGCAAGCCGCTCATGTCAGCCTTCCGTCGGCGCTGTTTGCAATAGAATGGTGTTTGTGAGCGAAACCCGTTGCAATACACACATTGGACTTGGACTGGGACGTAATACTGGATGGCAGTGGGATGGTAATGCAACAGCTGCAGTGCAAGATGTGTAGACGAAGTCGAACTTTGACAAATTCCGTGTGGATAGCGGAAGGGAGATGTGGAGAACGAGGGAAGAGTACGATCTCCCACGACAGTCATGGGAACAGCGAAAGCCGCTCGATAATATGATCCTGCGACAAGATGTACTTGCACTTTCTCTTTATTTCTCCCCTTGCCTTTCCCCTCCCCGCCAAACGAGGGGGGGCGGAAGGAAGGAGACAAGGGGAGAGTGGAAACAGGGTGAGCGAGGGAATGGAAGGAGTACAGTAATCAGGGGGAGGGAACAACGCAGCAGGAGGTAAAAAAACAGACTTTGAAGCCGTCGGCTAGCGCAGGACGCCGGCGTGCACATGGGCTTCCCGCGCGATGTTGCCGACCGGCTAGTGCGGCAGACAGCCTTGGGCACCGCGGTGTACGCAGAGCAAGCTGGAGGCCCCTGCGCCAAAGGGAGCTCAGTGATCGTTTTGCCCAGGCGCATCGCCTCGACGATGACGACGACGACGGCGCGTCGACGACGACGACGACGCCTCGACGACAACGACACCCCCCGATTGCCCAAAAATGATCGCGCTTCGCGGTCCGAGCTGGACAGGCGCTCTTCCCTAAGAGCTCTTTCGTGGGCCGCGCCGGCGCTGCGAAGATGGCCGCACGTCACGCCTCGCGTGGCGCGAAGCGCGACGTAAACCTGGCATCGCTCGGACGTGTGCATTTTTTCTTCGGCGGGGACCATCGAGGAGCATCCTTGATCATTTGGCGAAAAAACCACGCACGAAACCGAAGAAAACACAGGGAATGGACGTTCGAGCGATGGCCAGTAAAGAGGAGTGGCGCGCGCAGGCAGGCCTCGCTTGTGGAACGCCCGGGATTCGAAGCAGCAGCGGCAGCAGTTGGACCAGGAACACACAGCCAGCACTTCTGGCAGGATGAGCAAGCGGAGTGCATACAGTCGGCATGTCAAGGAAGAAAGTGGTTTCCGAGCAGGTGCCTCACGGAAATAGTTGATCCCCCGACGGCCCTTGGGACCCGCAGAAGTTCTTTGGCACCTGGACCCCTTCCCCAGGACCGGTTTCTCATCCTGCGCCGTTGTTTGACGGTCCCGAGGCCCAGTAAGGGCCCCTGGAGGCCGAAGATAGTAAGAGAAATTACCCGTCGCGTTTTTTTCACAACGCGAAGGGGTTCGGGGAGTTCTCCTCCTCCTCCTCCTCCTCCCTCCCTCCTCCCTATTCCCCCCTCCTCCCTGGCAGGGACCCACCTTTCGATCCTGCGGAACGACATCACCTCCCCGGGCGGCACCACCGCGGCGGCGCTCTACGCCGCCGACCGGGGCAACTTCAGAACAGTGGTGGGTAGGGGCTCTGCGTCAGCCATGCCAGGAAGAGACTTATCAGTTTGGGAGAATGGGGTTGGGAGACATGAAGGTATCCTTATCCGTAGGCGGCCGAAGGTCTCGTTCATTGCATCCAGATGCTATTGCTCATGCCCTTCATCCTTCCAACGCTGTCCTCCCAGCACTATAGTTGTTCCCCTCACCATGGCTCGGTATCAAGCGAGCCCGGAATTCCTTCGAAATGGCTTTTGTCAATCTGGCCATTTTTCGTCGATTTCGGCTCAGGGTCCCGCCATCGGGCCCCAGAGCTAAAAAGTGGCCCTCGGCGCCGCGCTTTGAACAATCAGACCGTCGGGTGTCTGGGAACGTGTCCTGAGAGAAGCGGGTCCTCAGGTTTCTCGCCGTTTTCGGTCTCCCAGGCCTCTCCCCGGGACCCCAAGAGGCCACCAAGACGGCCTGGACGGACTCCAGACGGCCCAAGACCCCCCCACAAGGCATGTGAAGTTTGGCCCAAGTCGATCTGATAGTGGGGCATCGAGCAAGTCGTTTTGATCTCCACGAACTGACTATCTCTGAAGGGCACGCTCTGTTGGTTAACTCTATCGAGTTCTCTTTCGCATATCGCGCAATGGCGCAGCACACGAACACTGAGACGGCGGCTTGCGGCCATCGTTCTTTTGTCACCTGTTCGCCATTTGCATATTTGCGGCCAGTTCTGCCTCTCGTTCTAGACAGGCGGCCCTCGTGTGTCTTGCCTACTTCCCCTCCTACTTCCCCTTCGCCGTGCTGCGTCAAACCCGCCCTTGAACCTGCTAGCAAAGCACTTAGAATTGAAAACTCGCCACTGAGTGCCCCGGTAATTGAAAAGAGGGGGGGGTTGCACGCAAAACCCCCTCGGACCTTCCGCTCCCCCTCCTCAAGGGGGGCGGGGTTCGGAACCGCCTTCTCCCCCGATCCCTCTGAAAGGGGAGAGGAGGGGTCTGGACCCCCCCCCCTTTGCGCTGGAAGGGGGGGGCACGATTTCGGGCTCTCCCTCACTCTTTGCGCCGGACAGGGTTTTGGGCTTAGGTATGGCAGCATAGCTGCCCTGCTACGCCCGTTTTGAAAGGCGAAACGTGCCGTGTTCAAAACGTCGGTGTTAACACACTGCGTGTTGACTCAACGTGTTGGCCCACGTTTTGGCAAACGTATCGCGCCAACCTTACGTGTTCAATCTGCGTGTTGAGCTCCGTGTCAACACGCTACGGGCTGCGTGTTGCGTGTCCGGGCAGCTACGTATGGGAGTAGTGAGTTCGGAGTAAGAGGTGGCGAGTAGTGAGTAGCGAGTAGCGATTAGTGAGTAGTGAGTAGAGAGTAGTGAGTAGTTACTAGTGACTGGTGAGTAGTCAGTCGGGAGTATTGAGTAGCTCGTACTGAGTAGTGGGCAGTGCATACTGCGCAGTGAGAACCGGGTAGTGCGTAGCAGGCAGTCAGTAGTGCGTAGCGAGTTGTGCGTAGTGAGTAGCGGGTAGTGTGTGGTGCGTAGTGAGTAGTGAGCCGTGAGTAGTGAGGAGTGCGTAATGAGCAGGGGGTACTGGGGAGCGAGTAGTGCGTAGTGCGTAGCGAGTATGGAATAGGGAGTAGGGAATAGAGGATCGTGACTAGTGAATGGTGAGCAGTGATTAGGAGGTGGTGGCTTGCGAGTGCCGAGCAATAAGTTGTGCGTAGTGGGTGGTGAATAGCGAGTAGCGATTAGGGAGTAGGGAGTAGTGAATCGTGATTAGCGAGTAGTGGGTAGTCGTTCGTGCATAGTGAGCGGTGTGTAAGGAGTAGTGGGTATTGAGTAGTGGGTAGTGAGTGTTGAGTGGTAGGGAGTGGGGCTCGTGAGTAGTGGATAGTCAGTAAGGAGTACCGATTGTAGTGAGTAGTGGGTAGCCAGTGGTAGGTAGTGAGTACAGAGTAGTGAGTGGTGAGTAGTGGGTAGTGAATAGCGAGTAGGGACGAGTGGGTGGTGTGTAGTGAGTGGTGAGTACTGAGTAGAGAGTAGTGATTTGTGATTAGTGAGTTGCATGTAGTGAGCAGTGAGTTGCGAGTATGGGGTCGTGAGTTACGCGCTGTGGGTATATAGTAGTGTTGTGAGTAGTTGGCAGGGGTAGCGAGCATGGACTTGTGCGTTGCGAGAAGTGCATAGTAAGTGGTGAGTAGTGATCACTGAGTAGCGACTAGGGAGTAGGGAGTATTGAATAATGATGAGCGAGTCGTGCGTAGTGAGTAGTGAACAGTGAATAGCGCCTAGGGAATCAGAAGTATTGAATCGTGATTAGCGAGTAGTGCGAAGTGAGTAGCGTATAGTGATTAGTGAGTAGTGACTAGTGGGTAACGACTAGCGAGTGGTGAGTCGTGAGCAGTGTGATCTGGCTAGGTTTAGGGTCAGGAGTGAGGGTAGGGCTGAAGGACAAGACCCCCTCCCCGCCCGCATGCCGTCTCGCTCACTCCCACCCGCCCTCCCAACACATACGTAGCACCCGAGTCCGGCCCGAGCCTCAGCATTTTCAGCAGTCGTCTTTGGATGGGCACGCAGCTACTGGGGGCCAATCCGCCGCCGCCGCCGCCCCCGCCGCCTCCGCCGCCGCCGCCGCCGCCGCCGCCCGCCCGCCGCCGCCGCCGCCACCGCCGCCGCCGCCCCTGCTGCCAAATCGCCGCCGCCGTTGCCGCCACAGCCGCTGCCGCCACCGCCACCGCCGCCGCCACCGCCACCGCCGCCGCCACCGCCACCGCCGCCGCCGCGCTGGCGCAGCCGCCGCCGCCGCCGCTGCGCCACCGCCGCCGCCGCCGCCGCCGCAGCCGCCGCAGCCGCCGCCGCCGCCGCGACGCCGCCACCGCCGCCCGCCGCGCCGCCCCGCCCCAAATCGCCGCCGCCGCTGCCGCCACAGCCGCTGCCGCCACCGCCACCGCCGCCGCCACCGCCACCGCCGCCGCCGCGCGCAGCCCGCCGCCGCTGCCGCCACCGCCGCCGCCGCCGCCGCCGCAGCCGCCGCCGCCGCCGCCGCCGCCAAGTGTACTCTGTATTGTTTGTTGACAGGCATGGTGGAGGGAGGCCGCATCGGGTTGGCTGCGCATGCTCCGAATTTGGAGGCAGAGTGTGTTTTAGATGGTCCTTTTTACAGAAGGATGGTGAGGGGGTTTCCGCATGGTTCTGGGTTCGCTGCCAATCGCCCGGGGGAGGGGGTGTTTACTAATAGGGAACATTGACTTAAGGTCGGGGGTGGTAGGGGTCGGTTTCTTGTGGAGCTAGTGGGCGGCGTGGCGAAAGGTGGGGAAGGGGGGTGGTCCGAATTGTGAGATCAAAAGGGGGGGGCCGGAACTCCCCCCCCTTTTTCTAAGGGGGGGGGCCGTCAACGACGGACCGGGAAAGGGGGGGGCGCCCCCGAAGACGGAGTGGGAAAGGGGGGCGTCCCCCCGACGACGGACCTGAGAAACGGGGGGGGCGCAGAGGTCCCGACCCCCCCTTCACAAGTTTGGGGCATCCAGCGGCGCCCCTTCCTTCTAATTCCTGTTTCCTGCCCCCCTTCATATCAAGGCACCTCATGCTCGCCGGAGGACCCAACCAAAACGAGCATCGTGAACTTGTCAATGTTTATATATAAAACAACCAAAAACAAACTTTGTGGCCCAGCCCATAGGCCAGGCCGCCCATGTTGATGAGTTCCTCTTCGCAGCGTGCGAATTGCGTTGGTGAGGATTGGCGTGCGCGTGGGGCCCGCGCGGCATTCTGCATGGAGTGCGGTCACGCGCGTTGCTGGCCACGCAAGATGGGCCCGAGTGCCCCGCGCGGCACGATTTCACACCGATTTTTTTTATTTGTTCACCAGGATTCCACGGTTGTCAGCTTGGTTTCGAATGATGTTGCTCGGACGCCCATGTTTTTTATTTGCGACTATGCGCGCAGGAAGCCAAGACTCTTTTTCCAGTGAAGAAGGCTCGCCAGCGCTGACCCCGAACAGTGTGTTCTAGCATGCGACTTGCTGCAATATGTGTGGTTAAGTTATGTGGTATAATATATGTGTTGTAATATCTGCGGTGCAAGTTGCGTGGTGTCATTGATGTGGTGCAATATGTTCGGTGCAATATGGGTGGTGAAAGCTTTGCAAAGTAACGCAACGATGTGGTGCAATATACGTGGTGTAGTATGTGTGCTGGTTGCAAGCTTCGTGCTGCAACTTATGAGTGGTATAACCTATGGGGTGCAATCTGTACTGAGCATTACAGGTGTTTTGCAACCTATGCAAAGTAACGCAAAGCAATCCGAATCACGCAGTGCAAGTCAATGTAGCTCAACGCAGAGCACCGCAAAGTAATGAAATTCCATGCGAAGCAATGCTAATCAGACGGCGACGAGGCGGCGGGCGGCGACGAGGCGGCGACGGCGGTCACACAGCCGCCAGACCGCCGCACAGACCCAGGCGACGGGCGGCGACAGGGTGGGGACTGCGGCCACATAGCCGCCATTCCGCCGCGCAGGCCCAGCTCTTTAGAAAGAAGAGCCCCGGAGTACAAGGACTGGTTCGGGAACGAGCGGCGGGGTTATATTCACTATGAGATGTCTCAAACTCATGTCGCAATAGTTTTCGACATGAGCGCCTGCGTGCAACCTAGATGTTCTTATTCGATTGGGGTTGTGGCGCTCGGAACTGTAAGATCAACCCATGCGCACCGCATTTTAGTATGTAACAGGGATGGTGCCCGGGCTGGGTCCTGTTGGGGCCCGCGTGGTGTCATGTGCAAGTGAAAGTCGGCGTGAATGGCCTTCATGGCATTTTTTGAAGGGGAGCCCCGGATCGCGTCTGCCCGTTACTGGATGTTGGAAGTACCATTTCTTATGAGGTATCTACGTCCGATTTCTTTTTAACATTCAAACAAAAAACACGGCTTCGAGCGATGGGGGGGAAGCAATAAAGAGAAGGCCTTCCCAGAAGGCGGCGAGACTTCTCAGGAGCCCTCGTGCCTCTTGAGAAGTTCCCCGTGTCTCGGGGAAGGCTTAAAACACTTCTCGGAAGTCATCGGGGGACTTCCGAGCCTTGTGAGAAGGCCTTCTCCTTCTCATTTCCCCTCCTTGCTCGCCGCCGAAAGCAGGGCCTCGTTCGGTGACAAATCATGGGAGCCTGGCATACCCTGGCAATTCCATCTTTAGCGTCGACTGGCGTCGATTAGCGTCTGGAGTCGCTGAGACAGCGCCGATTTAGCGTCTGGTAGCGTCGATGCGCGTCGATTTCGCGTCGACCAGCGTCGACTCGCACGAGCAGACAAGACCGTATGGGAGGCTCCCATGAGTTGCCACCGAAGTTGTGGACGTTGTTCCTAAGAGATTTTTCCGAGTGGAGCGGGTGGAGCTGACCCACACCCTTCAGCGCACTTCTGCTGCGAACGGGATGAGCTGAGCGTGTGATGTCCGAAAGATGAGACGGGGGCGCTCGGGACTAGCCCGAGGATTTCTGGGATTGGCCTGGGCATTCGAAGGTCTACCCAGAGTTTGCCCAAGGGTTTGGCTGCAAAGACTGCGTGCAAATTCCCGTTGCATTCCACTGTTTCCACTGCGTCCACCGCGATTTGTTCGACTGGCGCTAGGGCGAAAAGAAGACAGCGGCGCCACATTCGGGAGGTAATGACAGCGTGGTCATGCACAGGGATGGGGTAGACAATGGGAATCTGAGCAGGAGAGATGGTTTGAGGGAGCTGTGGAACCCATAGGGGGCCACATGCGAACCCCACCCCTGCCCCCCACGTTTTCTGAGGGGGAGGGTGGGGTTCACTTCGCCCGGTAGCTCCCAAGCGAAGCGAACCCCACTCTCCCCCTCATAAGTCGTGGGGGGCAGGAATAGGGTTCGCAGGTGGCCCCCTAAGTTGGTCCCTGATGTTTACTCTGAGTGAAGGCCAGTTCTGGAGTCGGGCTCAAGGGTCGAGAATCGCGATTCGAGACCTTTTCTGGGCCTCGGCAGCGAGGGATCGAAGTTCGACGTTCTGCGGAATGCACGTCCTCACCCCTGGTGCGGGAGGGCCCGCTCGGTGCGCCAACTGCGCGCACGGCGCGCCCCAGTCCGGCGCCCCCCGCACTCGAGACGTCCTCGCAGAGTCGCCCCCCACGTGCCCCCGGCGGGGGCCCCCAAACGGGGCGGCGACCACACCGTGTGGCGAGCTGGCGGGGCTTCAACACAAACACAACAACACACACACGCACACGCACACACACGCACACCAACACCAACACCAACACCAACACCAACAACAACAACAACAACAACAACAACAACAACAACAACAACAACAACACACACAAGCACACAAGCACACAAACACACAAACACACAAACACACACACACACGAACACACACACGGTGCGTGTTTTTCCCACCCACTGTATGTGTTTTTGCGCGTGTGTGTGTGTGTGTGTTTTGTGTCAGTGTGTGTGTGTGTGTGTGTTTGGTGTGTTTTATTTCCCACGTGTGTGTGTGTGTGTGTGTGTTTTTGTGTGTGTTTTTGTGTTTGGTCACCGCACGGTTTTGGGACGCGGCTCGTTTTCCGAGGATGCCTCGGGCGACCGGAGCCTCCGAGGTCCCCAAGGCCGTGCGCCGACGGACCGTGCGCTGAGGTCTTGGGGGATTTGCCATATTTCCCGGGGGTGCGCCCGGCGCGCCGGGCGCGTGCCCATACGGCGCCCTCGCTGGCAACATCCTCGCAAAAATCCCCCCCACGGTCCCTCGCTTGGCATTGCTCGGACGTGTGCATTTTCTTCCGGAGAGGACAATCGAGCTCGGAGCATCCGGGATCCCCTCGCGAGAGAGGCACGCGCGACATCGACCACCGCACGGGGAAGTGACGTCCGAGCGATGGCGAGCTCGGCGCGCCCCCAGAGGCCATTTTTGGGGAAAGCCCTGGCGCGCTGGGCGTGTCCTATAGTCCTGCGCCCTCGCTCGAGGCATCCTCGCTGAAGTCCCCACGCCCAGGAGGAGGAGGAGGATGAGGAGGGACGAGGAGGGAGGAGGAGGAGGAGGAGGAGGAGGAGGAGGAGGAGGAGGAGGAGGAGGAAGACATGGCCCCCATGGCGCGCCCCCGGGGACCCTGTCTGGGGAGGCACCGGGCGCGCCGGGCGCCATAGGCGTGATTCAATCTTGGCGCTCTCGCTCGAGACATCCTCGCAAGAATCACTCCACGGGCCCCCAGCGCGCCCCCAAGAACCATTGCTGTGGATGCACACGCTGGGCTCGGGCCGGACGAAAGGGGGGTATTGGGAAAGGGGGGGTTACGATATTTGCTGTATGCAGCTGGTTTCGGCCTCACCCAGGGGGCCATTTCTCGATACATGGGCGCCTCCGGCGCCGGGAGGCGCTGGGAAAATCAACTACGTGAGCTGATTCTCAACCCCCCCCTTTGCTATCCCCCCGTTTCGCCCGACCCGATGGGCGCTGCAGGCGTGTCCCAATCCGGCGTTCTTGCTCGAGACATCCGCACACCCATTGGGAGCATTTCCGGGGATGCGCCTGCTGATCTTCATCCTCATCCTTGCTCTCCTCACCCTCATTCTCCTGATCCTTCCCCTCACGAGCCGCCCTCCTGATCCTCACCATCCTCATTCTCACCCGCAGCACCACTGCTTCCTGCTCATTCACCCCTCGCTCATAAGTCCACCCTCCTTCTGAGTACAGCAGCTCCGGATCAACCACAGAGCGGCTGGCTAGTAGCACATGAATTGGTCAACACGTGAACTTGATGTCAGGTGGACATGTGCGTGCGATATCATTGCAGTCGTTTGTGCTTGAATCAATTTGTTTTGACGGGCGTCGGTGCTGAGGAGACGCATGGCTTGAGGAGTAAGTTGGGAGAGAGCCATTCGGCCTGTGGGCAAGATGCAGGTTTCCGATGCCGTCTGGAGTGCCCTCGAGCGCTCCAAGGCGCTGAACGACTCCACAGACCTGAAGAAGAATCAGCGCCCCGCCCCTTAATTAGGGAACCAGCTGGCGGCACTGTCGGGACACTCGCCTCTCCTCCGGGAGGCGCGCAGCACGACGCGTGCGAGTCTTTTTTAGTCTGCTGGCGGCGCGCCGCGCGCAGCGCGGCGCTGCGGAGCCAACCCGACCTGCACGGCTTCCATGCGCGGGTGGCTGAGATACAGTCGGGGCCCTGAAGAAGGAACCCTTTTCGTTGGGGAGGGGCCCCGCGTTCCTTAAGTGTTTCACAGCTTGCCTCAGGCTTTCCTTTTGTTTTCGATCGGAAATCGAAGTTTCACTTATGGAAAAAAAGGGGCCTCGTTCCTTATTATGGGTTCCTTAGGTCAAGCCCCCGACTGTAGAGCTACCGCCCGGACACGATGGCGTCGCACAGAAATCAGGACGGGAGGCTTCTGGCCATCTTCGGCCTCGGGGGGCCCCCTCGCCGGGCCGCGGGAGAGCGCCAGCAAAACGCTGCAGGGTGCAATGAAAGCCGGCCCCCCGGGGAGGGCGTCTGGACTTCCGGGGGCGCCGTCCTGAGAAAGTCAGGGGGAGGGGGGGAGGGGCACGGCTAATTAAGGAGGAGGAGGAGGAGGAGGAGGTCGGAGGAGGAGGAGGTCGGAGGAGGAGGAGGAGGACGAGTAGGTCGGAGGAGGAGGAGGGCGTCGCACGTCCGGGAAGACAAGCCGCGTCCGCCGCCTCGCGGGCGGTGCCCCCGGCCCGCGACCCCTGCGGGCCGCGGGGGCCCGGGGGCCCCTGGCCGCGGGGTCCGCGGGGCGGTCCGTCGCGGACGCCCCGCGCGCGGAGCGCGCCCACGCGGCCGCGCATCCACGGGATCGCGCCCGGGAGTGCAGAGCGCGAGGGCGCGGAGATGGATTCGTTCGTTCGGTCGCAAACGC